ACAACAGCTGGGCGCGTTTCGTAATACCACGTATTTTATCCTTTATCCCCGAGCTTATTACGGAAATCGCGCGTTTGATTATACAAATTACAGGGATGCTTATGCTACTCTCCGATCTGGGGGGGAACAAAATGTTCGATAATTGCTGGAAAGTTACGTTGCACTGTAATTTCGGGTGAAAGTTCGTATCATCCGTAATTTTTAGTTATCCGCGGAGAGAAAAGGTAAATACGATAAAAATATTCGAGAATCTTGAGAGGCGAATATTCAAATCGGTTGAATATTATTTTTTGGATCTTCCTCGATGCCGTGGAATCTAAATAATAATTTTTACGAATTACAAGGGAGAGATATTCAAATCGGATAACGATCTCGCTGTTCCAGTTGCGGGTTACGATACTCTAGCGCGTCGTCTCGATCTCCGTCCATGGAAATGAAATATCCTTGAGAGTATCGCGCGTGAAAGCTTTCAATTTTACACGAGGAATCGGTTGTGACAGAAGTCGTTTCGAATACGTTCTGCATTGTAGCGTCGAATGAAAGAAGCTGAACGGCCCAAGCGTGCTTAATAAATTTCTTGGGAAGGCAGGTTTATACGCACGGAACCCCTATGGCGATTGGTTAAAATCTACGAATAAATCACCGCGCCCGTATAAAACGCGCCGGTTTACCTCTGAACTCATCCTCGCCATGGAATTCCACCACCTTTCGATTAGTTACGAACCACGGTTTTGTTACGAAAAAAAAAGTACCACGATCTTGTTTGCGTTCGATCTCGATTCCACGTTGCAACATTTGATTCTCTATCCAAACAGCGAGTCTCATAACTTTAAGTTGCCTCGGGCTGAAAACTCGAATTAATTTCGTCCTGCGCCGTGTGCATCTAATCGAATCGAACGTGCACGCGATCGTATACCGGAAGTGGCGATGAAAATGATTTGTCTAGTACCAGGCGATGAAATTCCAGCACCGAACAACGTCTAAACAATTTTTCGAGCGGTGATGTACGATCCATGACGAGAGCCTTGGTCCTTTTTCTCGTCCTTTGGGCAAGAAACCACGTTGCCACTCTCACGATCATTCACTCTGACGTACCACGGTATGTCTTTGGCCTGCGTTTAATTAATCATTCGTCCCTTTACACGTGTTAACACGCGGAACAGTGGGGTAGTCGTTTTGAAGAAACGCATAAAAGTGAGAGTTCCGCGTCGAAACTTCTTTCTTTTTTTTTCTCTCTCTCTCTTAGAGTCGTAATTCATTCCAGGATTTTCTTTCTTCTCGCTCTCGCGTCATATCCTCCCCGGGTTTCGCAACGTAAAATACTAGCCGGCTCGTCAAGCGATCGTAACCCGACGACGGACCAAGGCAATCTGGAAGTTTCCTGTTGGGAATGATTAATGTCACCGTTACTTATACTAATCGATTTGATTGGCAAAGCCGTGTTCAAGAATCTGGAAAGCGATCGATAAGCCCCGTTCTCACACCTAACAGGCGCGACAGCAAAAAAACATCCGTTGACAATCATCTACCCAACATATATACATATACAGCGATTCGAATTCTATACTTTCTATTAAACGAATGGAATTTCCAATTATAAACCTTCAGGGGGACTTGATTACAGAGTTTCGATCGAGAGAGTCTGGCAATTAAAAATCAATTAAACGCGATCTATTGCAAAACCTGTGTAGTTGTTACTCTTTTAAGAATTATTTAGTGAACGTGGAGGTTCGAGCTTCGAGTACCAACCCTCCATAAACCGTTCAAGATTATTTCTTATTTACAACATAAATAGACGGTGGCAAAGGACAATAATTCTGGAAAACACGTCGAGGGTACGATTGGTGTTTTCCATGCAAATCTAGCCAGGACGAGGCGAGGAATTCCGCGCTAGCCCGGCGTCAATTAAATCCTCCCGCCGGTTCCTCGAACCGGAATACCGTCGGCGATCGCGATTACGTCGTCCGCGATTTATTCTCCGGTTTCCGCGAATGTTAACCGGCCGCCTGACGTTAGAGGCCCCGTAGAACGCGTGACAATAACGCGGATAAAGGCTGCACGGCAGCCTCTGCTCCGGCCTCCATCCAACGGCAAAGGGAAACACCGAGCATGCAACTGAGTCACGAACGGACGACAAATAGGCTGAACGCACCCGCAACTTCCATTATCTCGCCACTAGAGAGACGCTTTCTGTTCCGAGGGCAGCATAATGCCCCGACGCGTGGGCGTCGCGCAACGAACATAGATAATCGTCGACGAAACGCGGTCTTAGACGCGGGGCCAGCCTCCTGGGAGCCAGTTTATTTCCTAGATGCCTCAACCCTCGCGCCCCGTCTCGCTAAACATTGAACAATTACCCCACTGTACGAACATTTCGTTATTTATCACCTGCACCAGGCGGTTTTCACAGTTTTTTTAAGGATCGAGATATTGAAGTTTTATCGAAACGTTCTCGTGGTGGTCTATTTCGTCTTGTCACGGTCCACACCCTGTATAAGTGGAGTAACTCAAGCAAACAAAAAATGCTCGCGAGGAATGCACGCTTGAAATTAGAATGACAAAAGCCGCTCCCTAATGGGGCCAGCCAGGAACGGGTCGTTAAAAGGCCCGATGTCGGAAGAGGCAGGAACACGAGTAGATCACAGAAACATGATTTCTCGGGCCAGAACCGAAGGGTGGAAACGAGCTATCAAAATATCTTCGGTGCTTTTCATGCGCTCTCTTATCGAGACACATCTCCAACGTACACAATTCCATATTGTGCGTGGTGTTTCTAAAGGTATGCGTTCCGAAGCATATTATAAATGTTAGATCGGTCCCTAGAAATTTAAAAAGAAAGAGGAAAATATTAAATCAAAGATGTATTTCTTCGGTCGTTGAACTATATTCAGAACCGGATGCAAAGAGGAGGGGAGGAATTTTCAAATGTCTTCGATCGCGAGGCAATCAATCTCCCCGAACGATACTTAGTTAGCCGCATTAAGTGATTAAAAAAAATCGCAAATAGAAGGCAACGGTTTTCAACGTCGGATCTGCGACACTAATGATACTCTAATTATTCGAATTGCAATAGTCTCCGATGGGAATTGCGCGTTCGAGATTCTCCAAACTATGGTCGCGAAACAATATGTCCGTAATCTCCGCGAGCATAATAATGGCAATTACAGCGAGTAATAAAGCTATCATTACGATTGCAGGAAAGTGCATTCCTTCGAAGACCTACCGCGCTGCACAAGGGTGCAGTGTAGTCTTTCGCGCGTCGCGGACGCTGCTGATTGTTTTTTAATATTGTTGTTCCAGCGTAATTTCACTCGGATTCGTTCGAGACGCCTCGTGTCTTATTATTGCCGCGTTACGCGTTACAGCTTTCGTTCGAGCGACAATCAGCCGTTTATGCAATATTTATAGACATTATTATGGCAGCTTTCCAACCGACTGTCTTCGCCTCTGCTAACCATTTCGATCATAATTACTCCGCGCTTCCCACGCGAGCAAACTTTTCGGTGCAATTAAATAGCAACTCTGTTCTATTTAAATTATATTTTTCCACTGAACGTTAATGGAAATTTTTAACGCAGCTCGCCGTTCAAGGCTCCAACGGAAACGCTCAATTTACAAATAGAACAGATAAAGATTTCAGGCATCGAAAGGTTCGCATCGCATGGCTGCGAGCAGCAGACACTGCTGTTTATCGATATCGCAATCTCGCCGCGGAGATCCATCAAGCGTGCACCGTCACACACACAAACAACCGCGATCAGATGAATGCTTAATCGATGCAAGCTAATCGATTTAACGAAATCATTAAGCAACCGCTCGGCCGTGATTCATTTGGCGCACGTGAGACTTGCTGCATTCGAATCTCCGTTTTTTGCAAAAACATACCAACAATTCAAATGCACCGAGGTTGCAATCCCTTTCGAACCTAATAATCTTAAGTTAATAATCTCAGACTAGAGCTACCAAGCTATTCGATCTTTGTTGCATCAAAATTGAATTATCAAATCAATTGTGATGAAATGTAAGAGTTAGAAGCTCATTTCATATATTATTTGTTTATAAGAGTAACTCTGAATGATAATAACGCTTACACGCCACGTATGTACGCGAGTCTCGAGAGGAAAATCGATGGAGGATCGAGGAGGTAGGCATGAAAGGCGCGAAGGACATCAAGATGAATCGCGGACGTAAAGCCGTCAGAACGTATCGATTTCTCTCAAAGTGTCAACTGTGCATTCAATTAGACGCGTATAATGATTGCCTCGATTCCTCCGCGATACTTACAGCTATATCGAGAACAGTTGTGCTTTGTTTTGCGCCCGATCTCAAACTGGCTCCGTATGTGGCGCGAGACAAAGACCATTTTTGTCCTCTACTTTTTCCATTGGCCTGTGCGCCGAGGTCTAAATACGTAAAGTGTAAAAATTCCGATTCCCGACGATTCGAATCTTGACAGTTCGAGCCGCGAACACGCCGCGTTACAATATAACCATTGTCGACACATTTTTCCATTTATCATATTAATCTCGTGAAAGTAAACTCCCGCCCCGTGGATTTTACTCGATCAATTTAAACGAGCGTTGCTTCGTCCCGGGAATGATTAATAGTTTACGTCCGCGACGGGACGGAAGTCACATTTCAGACAGATCGAGCAGAACGCCCGTTCGCATAGATGACTTCATTGCGAGCTAATGCCCGAGATTTTCCAGATAGAATTAATCGAGAAAGCGCATAAATCTTCGTCAATACTTTCCTACTCGATATCTTCGTTAAATTGTATAGGAAAACGCTCTCAAAGAGTATCGAAAAGTACAATGAATTATATGACAGGATAGTATGGGCCATTGAATCGCACAAACGTTTCTTCTACGACTTTTTTCCTATCGGGACAGAGCTGAACCCTGTGCATGACCGAGTTATTAAAATTACCTTTTATAATGAGACCTTCTGCAACATCTAGCAACATCGGTCGAACTGTATATTACTTTTTTTCTGTGCAGATGACGACACCCCGACTCCAATTTTAGACGATGCGTCCGGCATTAAAATTTACGCCGATGGCCGATCCCACGAGCGCAGATCGCGCAGATCACTCACGGAAAAAACGTCTCTGGATCGTTCCCAAGGCGACGAGGAGTACGAGCGGTTCATGGAAGAGCGCGAGAGGCAACAAAATTTTTTACGAAACAACGACAGACACGAAAGGTGATACATATCTCTCTGCCCACATAGCGGTAAAAAAAAAAATATTTTGCAAAACGTCCTTCTCGACGTCCATTAATAATACTTAAGCCTCGAAATCGCCTCGAAATGCTCCGCCGTTCGGAACTAATCTACAACTTATTACGTTTTTTAAATAACAACGACGGTTCCAGAAAATACAAAACGTTTCCACGAGTCTGGAGAAACATCCCACAGATTGAACACGGTTGTTTAAGCTGGGAAAAGTACGAAGAAATCGGTCGAACTCGTTCTCGCGCGCGGCATTGTTCCGAAAAGGGCATCAAACGAGAGGACCATTATTCACGGGTGTCAAAGACTAAGAGCAGACCGTTTAAAAATTGCAGATACTACTCCGTGGAACGCAGACGAAACGACGCCAGCGACGAGGATAGCCAGGACTCGAAAATGGAATCGGATCCCTTCGTGACTTGGAGACCGCGTCGAGCCTTGCCGCGTGAATATTTCATCGAGATCATGGTGGTGGCCGATGCCAAGATGGTGAAGTACCATGGCAAGGCTTTGTTCAGCTACATTTTGGTCCTGATGAGCATGGTAAGCATCCTCTCTCCTATACAGGGTGTTATCCTTAACGCGTCTACGATATCTCCTACGAAATAAACTTTACAGCTTCGAGGAACCTCACGAGTATCATCGATACAGCAGAATTTAAAAAGAATCTTTTCAGTACTGAGAATCTATCGAGGATCGTTGACGAATCGAAGAACGATAAATGACATTCTGTTACCGTTTCGACGAAACTAGCCTCGCGCTGTAAATCATGGAATATACGCGAACGTACCGATAAGGAAAATGGCGAAGCGCGGACTCGACGACGCGGTACACCTTGTATAAGAACACGGTATTTATTGCACGGCATAGGCCCCGTCGTTCGTTAAGAAAAAAAAAAAAAAGAAACAAAGCACGAAAGACCGTGTGGGTGTATCACTTTGTCCGAGCACGGTTTCGGTGAAGGAAAAGAGAGGAGCGCAGATACGAGGCGAGCAGGATTAAAAGAGCTGAGGATCCTCGAAACAGCAGCGGCTGTGTTCGTGGGATGATCGATCTTGTAAGCCAGCGGGATCTGTCGCGAGCATTAAATATTATGCAAATGTTCCTCCCGCGATCCTAGTTAATTTCGGTTATCGAAAAGGTAGCGCAGGGGCTCGGGGATCCGTGGCTCGTCTCCCGTGGCGACTACCTGTGGCACTGATTTAATTACTGCCTCGAAATGTAATAAATACAACAGAAAATTCGTTGCGTGGCCAAATTGACAGAAATAATCGAATCGTTGATCCATGGGGGACTAAATAATTCGAGAGCCTGTTACGACGAGAATGCACGATTTACAGATACAGTGGAGCCTCGATCGTTGCGTGTCGGCGAGAGGACAGTCGCTGAGCAACTAAAGATGGAGTCTGTGGTGGGGATAGAACTACCATGCATCGGATTGGAGCGAAATTCCTGCAATAAACGAGGTTCTACCTATAAACGAGGTTCTAGAGTCTCAGAATCGTAAAAAAAACGATCCCCAAAGGACCGTTTGGAGCCTCGAAGGCGCAAAGTGTCCTTAGGCGTAACATGCTCGGGTGAAATTAATGAATAGTTTCGTTTTCGCGCGAGTTGTCCTTCGAAAGGGCGCGGGTCATTAATCATCTTTAATTAGCGGCGGTGTACAGTCGAACTTTACGGGCGAAATTTCAGCAGCGGAACCCCCGGTTGACATAATGGACGTCCCTTGTCGAGGGGAATACAATCTGCCGACGAAGGTGGACCGTGTTTCGCTCTGGTCTAAGATAACCACCGGTGCGGATTCCGTCGCGGACATTTAGAAGCCGTATATACCGAGGGCATAAATTTTGAACGGCGACTCTGCTCCTGCGTGGCCGCGAGCGGCGCACAATTCATCGTCGAAAGAATAGAAAGTACAACTTGCACCTTGGGTATTATAAATCGTGCGGTGCCGATACGATCTACCTGGCTACCTTAACTACCTTTAACGCGACGTTGACATTTCGCTCAGAATTGGAGCTCGAATTCAATTCCGCGAGCGGTCGCTTCCATGCAACGCGTATATCGTAAAGCAACCGACGATGGAAACCGAAACCGTTCCCGGTGATTGCGGAATTAACGCCTATGACCGTCGAGGTTCCAGCGTAGGCAGCCGCGACCGAGCGTTAACAGATCGTTGTCGGAATCTCTGCCGGTTGTAAATTACAGAAGACAAAAGATTGACCAACTTCGCGAGCAACAGTGTCACCGAGTCACGGCTGGAGGCACGGGGGCAATTTTTCCACGGTCGACACACCCTTATTGGTTTAACACTAGAAAGACTGGAACTTAGTATATACCTATATTGCCCAAAAGCAGTCAAAATGACTGCATCGTGAAAGACTAACTAATGTGTAAAGAAATTTGTTTAAAATTAATTTTTAATATTATGTTATAATATTATGAATTTAGGGCGCAGAAATAAAATAAACAACTTGTTAGAACAAGTATCACTGCATAAAGATTCGAATAACAAGTACTACTTTAGCTTATTGAGAAACTGCAATTTATCAATAGGTCTGGGTTAGGTCTGGGTTATGTCTGGGTTAGATCTGAGTTAGATCTGAGTTATGTCTGGGTTAGATCTGGATTAGGTCTGGGTTAGGTCTGGATTAGATCTGGATTAGATCTGGGTTAGGTCTGGATTAGATCTGGGTTAGGTCTGGATTAGATCTGGATTAGATCTGGGTTAGGTCTGGATTAGATCTGGGTTAGGTCTGGGTTAGGTAAGCCCAAATCGACAATTTATCATGTACTTGTATGTTATCATGTGTTGGTAATTGAAAAAAAATACAATACAGAGTCGATCTGGTCATATAAGAAATTTACTCAATTCAATAATAAGAGTCATTTGATTATTTAAAATTTCCCAAGCAGTCAAAATGACTGCTTTTGGGCGATATAGGTATAACACATATATATATACCGGAAATGAAGGAGGGGGTAGGTAACTACAATTATTAATAAACGCATTTATATGTTGTGCAAAAAGTCAGAAAATTCTAAGAAATTGTGTCATTATATACATAATTGTTTTTCTAATTGAAATTGAAAAGCAGTCAAAATGACATCCTTGGGCAATCTAGTGTTAATGGCTGCTACGGGGAACCGATGATTGGACTGGTGGCCGCGACTATGGTGGCAAAATCTCCCGTGTGGTCCAAAAGAGTGTCTCTAAAGTCCTTTTGGGGGAAAAGTACAGTTCAAAGAGACGATACAAGTGCAGTGGAAAACAGATTTTACAGAGCGTTAGAATTCTTATCTTTACGGACGTATCGAGACGCAAACTCGATCATAGATATTGGATCGATCGAACACAAGAGATAGTGTCGCATGGACGATTAACGGGCTGTTGGTTATTTCAATTCCCTGTAACGCGCGAACCCGCGGTACACGACCAACCCAGCTCATTTGCATTTCGATCAGTTCGTTGCAGAAATTGGAATTTGCATTGGAATCAAACAGTACTTTACACGGCGCGAGATCGATCCGGTTGTACGGTACATTGTAGGGTAATCGATTATATAATTCGTCGATAGTACGGAATCTTTAAACAGAGCGTAACGCTCGCGATCGCCTAAGCACGTGGGATGTGTCCTACTAAATGGGCTTCGTGCACCACCCGGTACACTTTTCCCATTGGCGAACAGCGACCCTGTAATTTATGCCTGTCGGTCTGGTTTTGCAAGCGGCGCCTAGTAGACCCAGGAAAATAGACTACGGAAAGGTAAATCCGTTTCGAGGCTTGCGCGATCCACGACGATGAGATCAAAAGTGCGAGTTGAAAATAAGATGAAATCCGAGGACGGAATGCATAAATCTAAAAGTATCGGTGAATATGCAAGGTAGATCATCTTGAGCCAACAATGTTGCACCGTAGCAGCTCCATCTGTTATTTGATTATGCCAAAAATAAGATAGCGCATGTATTGGCTGGAGCTGAAACGATCTATTCCTAGTACCACGATCGGAGGAAGATCTCCGTGTGACTTGTACTGTACATCTTTCAAAATGGAAAGTTTGTAATCACTCACCCCCGGTTGAAGAGCAGAGGAATCCAGTTGCTCGACGTGGATGGTGATTTTTGGGTCCGGAAGATGGCTGGTTTATGTGGGCCAAGCGAAGACGGAAGAGGTAAAGACGACGGGCAAGGAAATCCGATCGTCCCTTGATAAATGAATGATTCATGTAATTTGACGGTTAGCCTCGTCATTGTCAACCAGGTCATTACCATCCAGTCGGTTGCACATCCCACGCGATTCGGACCACACCTCAGAAGAGGGCAACATCCCACGGAGCGTCCGGGACTCACTTTCACGTGCCCACGCCCGTCATTCATACGACGATTCAATCAGCTTTCCTGGCTATCGATCATCCTTTTGATATTCATGACTTTTTTACGAATCGATGAAATCTAATTTGACGTAGCGTCGAGCGCCGTTTGATAAGTTGAGTGGCCATCGTGATCCGTTCGATAGGTAGCTTTAACCGTACGATTCTTTCATTGTCGTTTACAAGTCCACTTTCGCGGTCTCCTTATTGTCATGAGACATCCATTCAGAAAAATTGTTCACCGGGGTACAGTGAACTCTCGATTATCTTCAAAGCTTCTTAACCACGCGTACCAAATTATTTGTTTTCCTTCGGGTTAGACGTAGGTTTGTTCCTCTATTCCAGATTATTGGCTGCAAATATTGATCCCTTGCGCATGATTTGTTGCTTCAGCAGACCGGCAGGGAATCGATTACGAAGGGAAAACACCAGAACTTGCGCCAGGGTTAATAAATGACCAAACTTGTTTGAACAGATGCAGCGAGGATTCATTGCTGACTCGCCTAGTATTACTTCCTGACACGCGCAAATACTCATCCACGGAGATCATTGAAATATTTTACAAGTCAAATTACGCGCCTGGGTAGTGTTTTCTAAATCACAATAATTCAATTTTAAGAGTACCTGCGACAAGATCTGAATAAACACGTTCGGTTACAAGTGGTCGCTAAAACGATCAATTTATACACAAAAAATATCGCCTCCCAGTCGACTTAATGACAGAGTGGATCTACCCGAGTGGCTAGACAAAAAAAAAACCGATGAGCTTGTCAGGTGGAGCATTAATCTTTTCTAGAAAGTCGGGACGCGGGTGTTTCGAGCCACGATTTCCCACGCGAGAGTTTCCCGCCACCGAGAGTTACGCAACAGCCTCTTCCGCGACCGAAGCTCGCGTTTCGACTTTTCGACGCGCCGGGGCTATCGAATTGTGCCGACTTTTTTATGCCCCCGGCGAGATAACCGTCCCGCGAGGGTCGACAAGTGCATCGAGCATAAATTTCTGTCAAACTCGGTCAATCGTTCGACCAAGTTGAACGCACGCGTGGTCTCGTATTGCACGATGCACGCGGCCCGGCGATGCAGCGCGGTAGCTACACGTAATCTTATCACTCGGTCGTAATGATACTCGAAGCTGTAAAACGTAATGGTCTTCGAGATTAACCGCTTAAGTGATTCTTTAGGGTGAAACGTGTCCGATGTAACTCGAACCAAAGGAATCCCTCCCCGACTATCTTCGCTGTTGTCGTGATTTACGACCTCCCTATTTTTTCCCCCCAAATCAAACGAGCTAGATACTTCAACTGTGTCAAATTAGATTTCGATAGCGCCGAATGTATTTTCATAGTTTTTAACAAGACTGAAGTTCCGATCCTGGAAGCTTATTCGTGAGTCACGGTGCACAGAAGTATTTTCGGATGCAGAGGACGTCGCGCAGGATGCGTGACGCAATTAGGTACGTCCTGTTCCGTCGAGGATAGAGAAAGAATCGAACGGAGCCTTTGTCTATCCGTGTTCGAACTTTTTAACGTTCGCGATATCCACCGATTGTTCCCGACGCGTTTTCTCCCGCGGTAGAAGACACTGACACGATTTAAAACGAGACGACAGCTCGTTTCTAATCGGTAGCGCCAAGTATCCCGTTTTAGCAGACTTTCCCTTACGTATATGGATTCCCGGTGGCCTCTCGCGGTGGTTTGTTTGCGCAAAAATGCATGAAAATCGTCGATACCGGAACAGGACGTCCGAAGTGTCCAGTAAAAAAAGAGAAAAAAAGAAATGGAGGCAGTTTATCTACGCTGACACGCGACGAACGAATGGCGACTGGAGGGAACTTGCGGCGAGGACGTTAATAAACATTTTTGCCGTCTGTATAACCCATTTAACCATAATCGTAGAGTGTGGGGCAGGATATGAACGGGCACTCGAGCGCAGCTACGTCGCTTATGGATGACCACCTCCATGGAAATGAAAAACTTGTCTCTTTGCGCGCGTCTGACATTGCGATCGTACGGTGACACGATTGAATTGCCGCGTTTCTCGGTCGATCCCTCTAACCGGTCCAGTGAGACTTCTTCTGGAACCTTTTTTACGGTTTCATCCCAGTCGATCGATCCCCCCGGCTCTAAAAGACCAGTACAATCGTTAAATTTGTATTTGGAGAGTCCCAAATGACAAAAGAATACCACCTTCCGTTTAAGAAACATCGGAGGAACATGTAATTTCAATAGAGAAACGACGTGATCTTGAGAATTCTCGAGCACGATCCCTGTTCCGTGCGTCCTTCCTTCCGATCGACCATTCACCATCGTTTCGAAACGAAAACGGTGAAAAAAAGCGTGGAAATCCGTCGCGTTGACCTGGTAAATCGCGCCACGTAGTCCGAAGTGCAAGGCGTTTGCGTTTAATCAATCAATTACGGGCAAATAGCCGTTCTACGCGGGCGAATCTGTTGCAACCACTCTATTCCCGAGAGCGAACTGTTGGGGAAACGCGTACGAGTGACACATCAGCCCGACGAGGCGTTGCTCCAATTGAATGCATTAGGGCCGGTTCGTTTCATCTAATAAAGCTGCCTTGCGACTCATTGTTCACGGCTAATCGTTCAGACGAAGATTTCCTGACACTCGCGGCAGTCGAGAAACGTTCCTACGTTCTTTCTTCTCTCGATCTTCAGCCTCTGAGACTCTTGGAACCTCGAATTAACAAACTTGAGGGCATCTTCTTTCTTCAGGAACTGTGTTACCACTCACTCTTTCGCACCCTGTCCCGATCGAGTCGGTTCAGGGTCCCAGGGGCCCCACGTGGAGGTGAGGTGAGTGGATTTGACCGGAGAGGGCCCGCCAACTTCACCGAAATTCCCTGCATCAGACTACTGCCGAGACAGCAAACCAAATATAAGGGAACATCAGCTACATCGGGGTTTTCGACCTGGCTGATCGCCAGGAAGACCCACTCCAGTCTTTTGCCCCCAATTGGAGGGTCGTTCGATAAGTGTCTTCTAAAGTGGACCGAACGACCCATCTCTTTTTTACGAATGAAGAGTTTAACCAACCGTGGAAGTATATTTTTCTTCTCTAATTTTGAACCTGCCATTTGTCATTAGGGTCTCTTCGAGAACGTTTGGAAGCGACCGTTCCAAACGATCGTATAAAGTCTCTATCGCGCTGCACCGAAAACAAATCGTTCCTGGTTCGCAGAAGGAGCGGTTCGAATTTATGATCGGTACGGGGCGTCTGGCGGACCCCACAAGTTGTCAGTGGGGTTTAATTTCCGTTTCGCGCATTAACGGATGCATATTCGTCGGACGAGCAGTTAATAAGCGTGGACAATGATTTTTGCAAACCAACTCGATCGCGTCTTAATGAAGCGTCGAGGAGAGATACGAAGGAGAGAGGCTGGAGAAGAAAAGTACACGCACAGGGTGAGAGGCAGGAGGCGGAGAAAAAAGGACAACCATGCATAAACAATGCCAAGACACAGTGGACTCTTAATTAGCGTCGTGTCTCGCGTCCCAAAACCCGTCGTCCGATCTCTGCGGAACGAATCCATTCGTCGGCTGATAAACCGTGCTGGATGCTACTTTTCGATCACGTCGCTTAATTTCGCGCTCCTTTTCGTCGGTTTTTAATTGCACGGACAGTCTTGATCAGTCTTCGCGCGAAGAAACAACAGGAAATATTTAATAAGTAATTTCGTTGATGTTCCTCAATCTCGATTCTTCTTTTTTCCAGGTTTCACGGATCTACAAAGATCAGTCGATTGGCAATCCCGTGAGCATCTCGGTGATGAAGATCGTGCAAACGGACGAGGTGTTTGCAGCCAGACACACTGGAACGGAAGGATTGTCGGCAGCCGACATGCTCAAAAGGTTCTGCCGTTGGCAGAAGAACAACAATCCGGACGAACCATCCCCCGAGCACCACGACATCGCTCTCCTTTTGACGAGGTACGCGGACATCGTTCGAAATCCTTTAAAAAGCTGCTCGATTCGCTAGGCCATCGTTCTGCAGCGTTTCGCGAATTGCTTTCAGGGAAACTCTGTGCCACAATCCCGAGGAAAGGCGCTGCGACACGTTGGGTCTGGCCGAGCTGGGACGAATCTGCTCCCCGGTATCCTCCTGCGCCATAGTTCAAGATAATGGACTGGCTGCTGCGTTCACGATTGCCCACGAGATCGGTCACGTGTGAGTGAAACTATTCCGGGTGGCGAAAGTATTCGAGCTGTCGTAAATAAACGACTATATCGGACGAGAATTAGTACGCAGGGTGGTCCAGGCGACTGGTACCAGCTGGACCACTCTATAAATATTGTTGCCCGTAGGGAATGTTTTGTTCCGAAGTTCCTTTCCCGTGCATAGGATCGCGTCGAGCTTCTCTCATACCTCGTCCGATATTATGCAAACTTTTTACTGCTCTCGAAGCTGTCTCTAGATTCCCCCTCGCGCGTCCTGGTACCCTGAAACGTAATATGTTACGATTAGTATATTAAAAAACAATTCAAAGCAGCGAATCTTACGAATTCCAGACTGAACATGTCGCACGACGACGACACGAAATGCTCCGAATACATGAACTACTCGGGCGGGCACAACATCATGTCCAGGATGCTAGACGACAACACCTTCCCCTGGGAATGGTCGAAATGTTCCAGGCACTACGTCACCGAGTTCCTCGAGTGAGTCAGTTATTACCTTGACGGGCCAATAAACATTCTGAAAAGTGGTACGCCGACGAATTGACCCCTCTGCCCACCGTTTAGACTTCGTCTCCTTCGTTCGGATTTACTTTTTCTTCGTATCGCGTGTCTCGAGTTTGTTTAAATAAATTTCGCTTCTATTAGCGCGCCGAGTCTGTTTCCTATCGCGCCGAGTAACGAACCGCTTTGGGTATTTTAACGCGTTCAATGACTTGGTACGAGGCTCGTTATTCTTCAGGTTCCTGGATAGTTATATCCCGAAACCTGATACGAAAAATAAACGAAAAGCACGTTTCTCCGCTGGTGTCCTACCGTACTTTATCCAAAATTCGCATTAGTTTTTTCCAAGCTTACACCAGCGAATTCCAACGATTATTTGTTTTTGCAACGTCTCCCTAGAGACATATACAATTCATTAAATACGTGACCGCCGCTGCATAATCGCCAGATTTTCAGAAGGTATAATGAACAACATCAGCTCGTGGATCGCCAGTCATTACCCTCTTAGGGTTCCAACTCGTTTTCATTATGGAATTTGGTGTCTCATGAATATCCAACCATTGGGTAGATCGACGTCGATTATCATGCATTACCCTTTTCTCAAGATTCGATAAAATGGCGCTGCCTCTTGGCCAATCCAAAGGACCGTCTTAAGGGTCATTTTTAGACACTTTTTTAAAAAGTCCAAAGTAAACAGGCGTCGACGAGTTCGGTCGGATCGGAAGACAAGGAGACGGGAGTTTTTCTGCAACGGCAGAGGAACTCCCGTCGACTCGTCGCTTAGGAATCCGGTCCCGCTGGATTCTAAACGACCTGCACGCTCCGAGTCCCATTCGTTTCCGACAAAAATTTCGTCCCCCGATGATACGGAACGATCTTCGAGCCTGTCGAAATTTGTTTCAGAGCCGGCCACGCCAACTGCTTGCTCGACGAGCCCGATAAAATAATGGAAAAAGAGGACGTGAGCAGACTACCCGGCGAGGATTACTCGGAGAACAAGCAGTGCGAGCTCGTGTTCGGACGGGGGTCCAGGATCTGTTCCCACATGGACAAGGATGGTAAGTCGCGCGTTTTCGTACAGACTATTCCTAATCAACGAGTTGCCCCCGACTTCTCGATCTACAGCGAGTAGAAGCATCTATTTGGTCGAAGATCTTACAGTTTGAACGAAATCACTAAAATTAGAGGGATTTAAAAGACGAGTCTATCGTATAAAATTTTGCGTTGTTCGACACGATCAATTCGAGCCGCGAAGATTAACTTGAACCGATAGTTATCGAGGTTCTGCCGTCTAGCGTCAAGATCTTAAGCAATGGAAGAACTATTTAAGCAAACGACAGGCTAAGAATTGAAACAAAAGAGTCGTATAACGGATACAGTGCTTAAGAATTGAGATAAACTGAGCGGTTGGTTGGTTATCGGCCAGGCAGTGTGCAGGAGATTGTGGTGCACCGCACCGAGGTGGGATGATCCTGATCAGTGTCATACCCAGCACATGCCGTGGGCCGACGGAACCGCCTGCGGCGTCAACAAATGGTGTCATCGTGGCGAGTGCGTCTCCCGTAGGAATCTCGAGCCGGTCGATGGCCAGTGGGGCGAATGGGGACGATACGGCGAATGCTCGCGAACCTGCGGCGGCGGCATAAAGAAAAAATACCGCGAATGCAACGATCCGCCCCCGCAGAACGGTGGCAATTACTGCGTCGGGGATCGCGTCAGGTACCGCAGCTGCGCGACCAAGGAATGCCCACCGGGAACCCCGGATTTCAGGTAATCGATCTGGAATCAATTTGGAATTCGAGTTAGCAATAAAACAACGGTTTCGAGTTGTGACCCTCTTCGGAGACGAGTAAAATGCAGTTTCCTCTGAACGCCTCGTTTCTTATTACGAGTAGTTTTACATATATTAATGCAACACCGTGCCCGAGGAGGATCACAAGAGACAGGGCGTCGATTAACCTAATTATCGTCTCAAGCATGATGACCTTTTCTATACCGACCTAACTTTGATCCGTTTCGCAGGGAACAGCAGTGCTCGCAATTCGACAACAACAATCTGAGCATACAGAATCTGACCGAGGACGTCAAGTGGCACGCGGAGTACACCAGGAGTAAGTAATTCCATCGGTAACAAGTGTCTCGTAAATACAGCGGCCCCGCTGAACGTTTCTAGCGTCTGGAATTTCCACGAGCGACGCTTCTGCTCTTCCTGTTTCAGTATTGCCGCAGGACCGTTGTAAATTGCACTGCCAAGTGGAAAGTAATCATTATTACAAGCTGAGGGACAAGGTGATCGACGGAACACCGTGCGGACCGGACACCTTTCACGTGTGCGTGAACGGCCTCTGTAAACCAGCGGGATGCGATCACGTTTTGAACTCGACGGCGGAACTCGACACTTGCGGCGTATGCAAGGGCGACAATTCCACCTGCCAGAGGATCACGGGTACCTACAATGACACCAAGTACGGATACACGAGGGTGACCAAGATCCCAGCAGGAAGCAGCTACATAGACATCAGACAGCACGGTTGGAAGGGATCACACGACGATAGCAACTACCTAGGTACAGGATCTCCGAAACGCAACCCTTTCGCTTATAAAATGACAACGTCTCCTTCGTTTACGCCTACTCAAAATCGTTTTCTCTAGCTCTGAGGCTCGGGGAGGACGGTAAATACATACTGAACGGCAACTACATGGTGATGCACCGAAAGGTGATCGCTCTGGTGCAATCCGGCATCACCATCGAGTACAGTGGACCCGAATCGGTCGTGGAGCGTCTGAATAGCTCCAGACCGATCGGCACGGACTTAATTCTAGAGGTGAGTTCTGCGCGATTGAAGGTATTGTGGTTCCTCTGGTACCCAGTAGGAGAGGCGATGGACCTAAGATATTTCTTTTCTTTCAGGTGTTGTCGGTGCCGAACGAGAATCCTCCTCAAATCACCTACGAGTACACCGTGCCTAAGAAGATCTTGAACAGCTACACGTGGATTCTGAGCAACTGGTCGGAGTGTACTCACACTTGTCAGGGCATGAAGTATCGTAGAGCCGAGTGCAGGAGTACGGAGCACAAGGATGTCGTCTCCGACGACTACTGTCGCGAGGAAGAGAAGCCGCGCGAGGAGAGCCAACTCTGCAACAATCATTGCTCTCTGAAGTAAGTCAGAAATAAAATCTTAATGTAACTTTAACACGATGATAAAATCTTCTACGTACCTGATTTCTCCAGGTGGCAAACGACGGTATCCGAGTGTTCCAGTCACTGTGGCCCAGGTACACGCACGGTGACCTCGAAGTGCTTCCAAGTCCTCGTCAACTCGAACTATCCGCCGCGTCCTATACACGCGCGTGCCTGCGCTCATCTTCAAAGACCCAACGAGATAGAAGCCTGCATCGGTCCTTGCGAGAACGTCCATTGGAATTACGGGGACTGGGGCAGCTGCAGCGTTACTTGCGGAAGCGGGGTCCAATACAGAACAGCCGTTTGCGTGCACTCGAACGGGAGACCCGTGTCGGAGGACAATTGCGCCAGCCAGGAGAAGTATCTCAAGAGAGTGTGCGGCCAGGACGCGTGTCCCAAGTGGGATTTCGTCAAGTGGACTCCCGTGAGTGGTTTTCGCGACTATACAAAAATTTTAATGGGAGATGCTAACTTTTTAACGAAGCCTCGATCGACAAATTCGTGTTCTTGATTTCTTATTTTGGTCTCTAAAATCGCAGTGCTCGGCAACGTGTGGCCCTGGCAAACGACAACAGCAGTATTTGTGCCACGTGGACAACCGAATTGTATCTCACAGCGACTGTGGCGAGTCGCCGCCGGAAGTCGTGGAGGCTTGCAACGCTGGGCCTTGCGAGCAATGGAAATCCGATGCCTGGAGCCCGGTATATACTTAAATCAAACATTTGTTACACACATGATAGTCGACGAAACTGTTATTTAATACATCTGAGCTAGAATTTAATTTAAACTGTATAATGGGGGATTCGACTTGTTCGGTTTACAGTGTTCAGTCACTTGTGGTGCAGGCGTGAAGCAAAGAAAAGTAGTTTGCGAATCCTCTGATGGGACCATAAGCAACAAATGTTCCTTTTCTGATAAACCGGAAGACATCACCACCTGCGTGCTTAAGCCCTGCCCAACAGTGGTGCGTTGATTATTTGCTTTTAATTGTAATACAAAACGTAACTACTCACGAAATGTTATTGCAGGCCAACGCAACGCCAATTAAATATTCTTCCGATCCACCGCACGAGGAACCTTCTCAACAGGACAATGAAGTCGGTGACATTACGTTCCGTTCTGGATATCAATGGGACGTTAGATCGTACAAGGAGGTCAGGATTTTCGTCGTAAAGTTGTATCATCTCGAATCTAAAAAAATTATAAAGTTATGTATGATTTCCAGTGTTCCAGGCCGTGTATCGGGGGCTATATGTACACTGGGGTAAAATGTGTCTCCATTGAAACGGGAACCATTGCCCCCGACGACTACTGTGACAGAAAAAAGAAACCGTCAACTTCGATTCCTTGCAATCGTCATCAATGCCCAATGTGGAACACTGGCGATTGGAGTCAGGTTAGCCACGAAATATTGTGCAAAAAGAGAAGCTGTGCTTTACGTTACTGACTCGTTCGAATCATTTGTCGATATAGTGCGACGTGGAATGTGACACGGGATTCCAACATCGACAAGTGCGTTGTCAGAGTCCGCAGGGTGAAATTGTACCGGACGACAGATGCCACAGCAGTGAAAAACCGGAAGTAGTGAAGATATGCCGGAAGAGCCCGTGCGTGACCGGCTCCACGAACAGGAAAAATCGACTGGAACCGAACATTTTTCGAAAATGGAAAGTCTCGAACTGGACTTCCGTAAGTATTACTTTCCCCGCACAATATTTCTCACTGTATTGCAGCTTTGTTACGCTTAAATAATTCAATCGTAACCGATTACCTTATATTTACAAAATTCGTATTATCGTTGGCAACCAAGCACTTTTGCCAAATCGGAGTGTCGTGAAAAATTTAATTCACCTGTTGTCTTACCTACGAATCTTCTGTCGATGTTGTGTACCTTCACTCTCATTGTCGTTGAAAGCTGTTTTATATTACAGCATGCGAACAGTTTACTTCGTGAGGATGTTAAACGTTTTCCGTCGATGTGCGTAAACATTTAGGCTTTCTTATAATTTAAATACTAATTGGACGTGTAACGGTACAGTTAAGAAGGCGAGAACAAGACGGTACGAATCAGAGTTGATTTTTACAAATTAGTGTCACGAATAACCGGAAGTGGACGAGTAAAAGAAAATCGATTCGTTTAAGCGTGCTTACCGGAAGTTGAGGGCTGTTCGGAGGTTGCCATCTGTCGCAGTTTGGTCGAACGAAAATGTTTTACAGTGCTCGAAATCGTGCGGTAGCGGACTGCAGAGGCGAAGGGTGGAGTGCACGATGAGGAGGGGGAACCACGGACCGGAAGTGACGGTTAAGGACGAGCAGTGTTCGAGGCTTGGCTTGTCCAAGCCAAGATCGCAGAGATCCTGCCGACGCGTTGCCTGTGACTATATTTGGCAGGAAGGCGCTTGGTCTGAGGTACCTTCATGCCTCGCCACTATGATCTATCGATCACGTTTTACATCATCGCCTGCCTCTTCTTCATTTTGTCGCTATTTCCACCCGGAATGTTTTTTCGTTCGATCCTATCGCTCGGCTTATCGATGGATGCATCTTTCATTCTGGATTATCGCTAAATGAAAGGCGTGTAATTAAATAAATAGGGCATGAAATTCTTAGTCAAAGTTCTGATGCAGTTCTAAGAACTGCATTTCCAAACTTGTACACGTTTCACCTAAGAATATACATTTCTACTTGTTTCACAATTATTACAAATTCACCCTATCAAGCTTAAATAGACAGGAATGTAAAATGATCCTGAAAACACTCAGCAGAAATCATTTTAGAGTGCATTATTGGCGTAGATTCAAGTTTAAATGAGCCCTTTAACAGTGGCACCCTCTGTTGCAACACCGCGTAAGTTTTATGCACTCACACGCCAGTGAGTAACCAAATTGCAGTTTAAAAACTTAAAATTCAATGTCGAGAATTTGTTGTTTAATCAATTACGATGCAATATGACCAACCCCAATGTATATATACGCCTTTCGCATTGAAAAGGTTATAATTTAACTTAAAAATGTATCACTAAAGGCTATCATGTTTCTTTCGAATTCATCTATAAGCTTTTTATTTTAAATTTGTTTTAAAATAAATTCATTGATAATTCCATTCTGTAATCTAAGGAACAGTACAAAAAATGATCGAAGTTGGTTGTTTTCAATTTTAATTTGAACTCACAATGGACAGAGTTATATCGTTACACCAACTTTAGTCATTAAACGGTTTTGGTATGGTTCCTACATGGTAGTGATTAATTCTTAGACACAATAATCCAAATTCTACTTTAATGTACCTAATAATATCAGAGTTCTGCAAACATTCCTTGTTATGAGAATTTTTAATTTCTGTAAGAGATAAACTTGCAGATATAATCAGGGAAGTTTGTATTTCATCGAATTATGCGTGTGAAAGAATGATATTCATTCTATTAACACTATTAACTCGTGTACAGCACTTATTGAATGGGTATGCAAATTGAATGATTTTCTTCATACAGTAGTTCCCGTCATACAGCATTTTTGTCACACAGATTATACTTTACTGACATTTTCAAACATATTATTTATTCATGAACAGTGCATGGGCATGAATTTATTATTTTTTCTGCATGTCAACAATATATGTTTCAGGTAAAAATGTTTAAACAGATGAAATTGTTCATTGTATTATTTACCACGTACTTAAATTGTCACAAATTTTGTTAAAATTCTTCCTTTTCCTAGTCTACAAAGATCCATTTGACCATGTTATGTGGTATTTGATTCCATGTAAAGAAGGAAAGAAATTAACAAAATAAAGTGAAAAGCATAATAGCTCGACTGTTCCCTAAAAAATCACTTTGTTAGTAAGAATTGCAATGAAAATCAGGCAACTTTGTTTAAAGTGTTCAGCAGAATGTGGCGAGGGAATTCAACGTCGAACAGTAACATGTCATCGTACTAATCGATATGGATTGATCGATCCAAGACCCAGCGACAACTGTCCACTGGATCAAAAACCACCCGCTGAACAGACCTGTAAATTACAGGAGTGCGACGACAAGTATTTTTGGAGCCCTGGCCCATGGAAGAAAGTGAGCCCAATTTAACAAGTTGAAATAGTTTTTAATCATTCCCTCAAATATTACGTGACTGAAATGAATCGAAATTTTAGTGCAGTCACACGTGTGGGCAAAAGGGCCGCCAAACGCGAAGAATATTCTGCCGCGATAGGTCTGGCAAAAGAGTAGCTCGAGTTAATTGCCCTATCGAATTTAAGCCACACAGAAAGCAAAAGTGCAACCAAAGAAAATGTTATCCACTCTCTTGCCTCGAAACTAAAAAGTACTTTAAAGCTAACAAAGACGGCGAGTACACTTTGATCGTGGGTGGAAGAAGCATGTCGATTTATTGCCATGGAATGTCAACTTCTGATCCAAAAGAGTATTTGACATTGCCAGCTGGATCTCGAGAGAATTACGCGGAAATATACGATAAGAGGCAAGTATCTAGATGCACTTCAGCTCAGAACATCAGAAGTTATTCTCTACATTATTTCGTACATTTTAGATTAATAAAGTATCAAACTTGTCCATACAATGGACAGAGAAACGATAGTTGTAAATGTGTTACCGATGCTGGAACCATTTCCGGTAAAACAATGTTCAGAAGAGTAAGATTCGACCCTATCAAGCTTTATATTTTAGGTAAGATGTTACTTATTTAGGTCGCCATCTTAAACATTGGTCTCTTTTTTTTTATATATGTTACAAAGTATATTGTATCTTTTAGAGGACGATTATACATTCTCGTGGACAAAAGGTGCAAAACGCGTCAAGTATGGCGTGGCTGGTGATTGCTACAGTCGTGCCTATTGTCCCCAAGGTCGTTTTAGTATTAACTTAAGTGGAACTCAACTGAAACTATCGTCGGACGTTACATGGACAGGAACGCTTGGAGTATCAATGGAAATTTATAATATTGTAAGTAAAGCATATAATTAATATCGTGCAATGACACATTGTATGTTATTCAATTGCACCCTCAGAGCAATCAGCATATCACGGGAAAATGCGGAGGTTACTGCGCCTTTTGTAGCCCGAAAATCGGATTAAAACTAGATGTTCTACCACCCTAGTTCGAAATGTACGGAGCTTAATAATCTCTAGATGCCTGTGGAGTACAGGTATGTAGGACCAATATTTTCATTTCATTGTTTAAACTCGAACCAAGCGAACAAAAGTGACCTTCCAAAAAGCTAGACGGATTTAAAGTTAGACCCTGTACCATATTCTATTTAAAGCCATCTTTGCTGGATAGTTCTCTAAACTGTAAATAAGAAACTTCGAGTCTCTAGAAGTGTAAGCAAAAGATTTACAGCTTTCAGCAGATAGAAATTCCACTAGTGGATTTGAGTACGTCGCAAAAGACTGGTTCAACGAACACACGATGAAAATGACGATCTGCTAACGAACCGATTCCTTTGACCTCGAGGTTACTCCGAATCATATGTTTAAGTCGTTACTAGTCCGCTTGATTCTTAACAATAGTTATTGCACAAAATCGACCGTTAACAATCAACGTTGTACGATCAAAGAGATTGCTTCGAAGCGAAGTCACAAATCCAAGGAACGTGTGAAGAGCACTCACAAACTATTCTTGATATGTCGAATAGAACGTAGATTAATTAATAACTATTTACTATCTTACGATTCGCATTTAAAATTTAATGGTTTATTTATGTTAAGAATAGGAATATTATTCACTCGATTTTTTTTTTTTACTAATTCCATTCATGACAATAAGATCATCGAGCCTATTAATGTACCGAAAACTTGAAAGAAGAGAAATGCTGGTAATAGTTCTATTTTCTTGAACTATTCGTCGAATTCTTATATCTACCTAATTAAGAGTTCCATTAAGTGTGTATATAACTTAGTATCTGGTAAGGACTGCAGTATTCGTTTTTTTTTTTTTATTTCGTTGAAACATCGTAACAACCTGTATAAAAACGAATATTAACATTGACATGTAATTGAGGTCCAAACCGGGGAATCAAGAGGTATAAGTCGATCGATTCAATCAGTTTCTGTAAATGCATTGTAAACGATATGCTCTAGATTTACTTGGGAATGCATTAAAAGCAAAATGAGTCTGAGAGATTCGAGCCTGAATCTATACCTCTTGGTCAGTCGAATACTTTGGCTATTGCATGGATGTGGGGATGTAAAATGCGACAGAAAACTCGAAGCAGTTGTACATTCTATCACTGCCAATATTCATGCCTTATACCTTACATTGATATGTAGTTTCATAACAAAGATATCAACGTTTCTACGAACTTGGAATTCGCTCCAGTTGAGAGGAAAATACGTATTCTAATGGAATTAGTTACATTAAGGAGCACATCGACATTTCCAAAGTTATTGTTCCGCCTTCTCGTTGCTGCAGTAGAGAGAACGAAAGTAATTCTAGAGACGTCGAAAGTAGGAGGAAGCTGATCGATGCTGCTTTTTGGAATTACTCTCGATCTCTCTACGTTTATTAACACTTTACCGACCGGTAGCGGTTGATTAATCGGCTATCGGTCGGTAAACGTCGACCGATAAAACAGTTGATTAATAGGCTATCGGTCGGTAAGCGTTGGCCGGTAAAACAGTCGATTGATAGGCTATCGGTCGGTAAAGTGTTAAAATCGTTTGACCCTCACGTGCCAGTGTTTCTGCTTCTTGATACAGCACCACCGTAAATAATTAAATACCACGACTTTAGTATGTTCGTGGCACGTAGAACAATAACATTAGACAATAATTTAGCGTGGTAGATTTGTAGATTATATTCGAAGCCATAAAATTTGTATCGTCCCCTCGAGAGCTCCAGATATAGCTAATGACTTAACCATATTACCTTAAGTCCATGGTGACTCAATGGAAGCGACCGATATCAACTATTTTGTACGTGAAACGTTCGTTATGACAGTGATGGGAGTCCATTTTATAAACAAACGAAATATCTGCCGATTAATGGACTTGCAACGTTTTCGTAACGAACGGATTCGTGTATCGTTATTTTTAGGAAATTTAGGAAATGACATGGTATTGATATTTTGGATCGAATATTGATCTCTACACTGCCGTTATCCTTTCAATTCGATACCTTGATTTCTAAACGAGAAGTTTGATTTATTGACGAGGGAAACGTAAGACAGTCTCGTACCTACACCAAAATACCAAAACAATTCTCGAGTACAAATCTTTTTTTTTGGCAGAGGTACGACAAACTCGTTCTCATGACCTATTGTATGAGAACCGAAGGAAATTTAGCTAAGTACGTAACGTTTCAATAGACTGCCATAGTTAATGTTATTATCCAATACTTATATATTAATATTATATATATTATCTACTGATATATATATATTAATAATTTTTTTTTTATCGAAGAACGAATAACACGGCAAATTCGGCTATATCGTAACGTAGCAAAGCATAAAGGATGAACGACCGTATTAGCAAGTTGTTCCAAATCGTTTTGGTGCTTTCGTGAATGGCAGTAGTTGTAGACGAAAATTTTGTAATAATTTTTGTACAGCCACATGATCAAAATTCCTACAGGGATCATCATTGACCAAACAGATCGCATGATAAACTTCATCGTATTCGTAAAAAAAAAAGTGTAAAGCAGAAAAGGAAAACTAATTGTACGATTCGTTTGCACAATCGCTAACAATACACAACGTTTCACCGATCAGGTTTTTATACTTGCCACTTGATTAAAATCATTTATGACGTTGTTCAATGTTTGTTGGCAAGTGCCAAACGACGACTGTTTAATAATAAATATAGAATACATTGCATGATAAAATGTATCCGTTTTCGTATGTATATTATTCGTAGTCGAACGATAGTTTAAAAACTAACACAATTTTCTCCCTCTATCATATTAGATATTCTTTTATTCATCCTACGTCTAAATGTATTCTTCTTGTATAACGCTTCATACGTTTTCAACAATTCTTTGGAACGATTGCGAATTGTTACTGCCAATATCGAGTATTTTTACAAATTTAAGTATATCATGTAACTATAAGCGTAGAAGTTCGGCGCGGTAATTCATTACCACGATCTCGAAATCCGAAGTCGATTTGACTTTTCCTTCTTTTGTAATTATTTTGCGCACCAGCACAGCGAAATAACATTGTACAGTGTCGATTAGTAATTTATTAATACCTATCGTTTAATACCATTAATATGTAGCTTATTGTAGAGGCGATCATTAGTACCAATGTACGGCAATTATTTAAATATATTGAATCCAAAAGTAAAAATTTTTCAATGTTTATTTAAACATCCTTCCGCGCGTAACAATATACAGGTACAAGTATGAGAATTACAAATATATTCGTAAACATTTGCCAGCTTCTTGACATTCTTTGACAAATTGACATGAGAAAAAATAATTTTACAAAATACGACTGTCACTGTGACATTTGGAAATAGTCACGCATCGTTTGGTCTCTTCTAAATCGGGGTAAAATTGTTGAATACCAATGTGCACATTCTGTAGTAACTATAGTCTGTACAAGAACAATTAGCATCATAGTTAAGAGATTATTTCCTATCTACTGTTTAACTACTTCTGCTGCTATTACATTTAAGTATGCTACACAGACTTTTCAAATTCAGGATAATATCATTTGTATGAATAACATGCCTAAGAATAATAACTGCTGTTTTTATCATATAAAGATTGAAAGAAGATAGAACCTTAAGTTGCCTATAGTTAGGAAGTTTGGGTGGCTCTTTACATCACCGGTTGTTATCGACAATTTGACTTCTGGTAATTATTTTCTCACTAGACCCATCATTCTTTATTTCCCATTAGTACAAGCGCAGTAATTTATTTTTCACATCTTAATATTTTATTTCATTAGCCAGAAAATGTTGTCATGGATTTTATTTTCACCTCGTTTAGCCTAATTAACAATGACTTTGTCAATTACATTAATACTTTTAAATTATAACTAAATATTTCTGATTTTGTTATTTGCCTATTTTGGAATAATATATCATATGTTATATGGCAAATTATATAAAACATTTGTTTTATAAGTCAAACGCATAAGAAATAATATTAACTTTAAAGGACCCTGCACAGATCTTGTGGAAAATGGCCCCAGTTAAATTAGCTGAACTTTTGATATGATGTAGTTCATTATGTCTTGATAGAAAGTTCCAATCTTGTACATTGAACAGTTTCCGAGATACAGGGGATACGATACAGAATGAACTACATCGCATCAAAAGTTCAGCATAATTTAACCAGGGCAATAAGATCTTATTCTAAAGATACTAAATCTATATTAAAAATAAAATACTTATGCGATACTATGTCGGCAGCAGCACATATTTTTATGATCATAACAAATCAATTTTATTAAAAGATGATAACTCTTTCATTGTATTCAAACATTTATTTCTATTTGCTCAATAGTTTGCACATACGTGTACTATTAGCAGAAGTTATAGTATATTTAGTAATGATGTTCAAACTCATTATTCAAATAGTAACAAGATTAATGACTTCTATTTCATCCTTTTTATACTATTTTCCTAAATGCATATGCGAATGTTCGTATATCGATGTAAACCGACATTTCTATTAAATGGTACTGCATTTGTCAGATCTATTTTCTCATGTTCAACAGTTCTGGATACTTTCTGAACCCTTTGAAAATAAAACCAAAATCTGTATAAAAATCTCTTTTTATACGGAACATTAACATTAATTCTTTTTTCAGTTTATGTTATGCATTCATACGTTTTGAAATTTCTTGTGTAAATGAATGTTATACCGTGTAACTGAGGAAATTTTGTAGAATAAACAAATGCGTTTTTTGACAATTACCGGCAAGCGTCTGGTGAAACAATGTTTGCCATGTTGGCAGTTCTGTTTCACTCAGGATTGAGCTCGCTTTCGATGTCTTGTAAAATTGATGTTGGAATTTTGGTTTGCCAATTTTGTTTAATTGTTACTAATTCACTGTTACTAGGTTTTGTAATGATTCCCTGTGTTGTCCGCTTCCTTTTTGCCCGACGTTGATTTATGCGTTTTTGTTCGATATATTGCTTCGTCTGTGCTTCCGATATTCTTTCCAACTTAATTCTACATTCAGGAAAGTTCACATTTTCGGATTCCGTCGTATTTATTGAATTAGTAAACGCATGTTGTACATCACTACCATTAACGAAGAGTATCTTGGGTTTATCTAGTTTCTTGTTTTTTGTAATATTTTGTTTTTTCTCATTAACCTGCATATTTTCTGTCGTAAATTTTGATTTCGTTCTCTTGATCCCTCTAGCTATGCTTCGATTCATCGATTGTCGTTTCTTCTTTCTCCTCATGTTATACGATTTGATTCCTATTTGTACTTTCAGCTCATTACACCTTTGCTTCATAGTGGACAGCCTTAACTTATCCCTTGTAATCTTCTTCTGTAAAAGGTTTACTCTTTTCTTTAACACCTTTTCATACATATTCTCATAATATTTTATTTCATCCTGAATCTTTTCGTACTGCTTCAATAGAAGTTTCGCTTTCATCGCCAACTGTTCGATCTTCTGGTTTCTTATCAATTCCTCCTTTGTTGTTTCGGTATTCTGCGTTAAGGCGTATTTTTGTAACTGCTTTTTCAGTTTTTCCAAACTTCTCTGGATTCTAGTCACGTTGTTATGTTCCCTTTTGATTGCAGCTATCTTCATTTTTCACCATGTGATGTTACACAGTCACTCGTTTACTATCTACCTAACCTAACCTAACCATAACGTCGCCTAACCTTCACTAAATGATTAACGGTCAGTTGTCCATTAGTATTACGTATATTATATAGAATATTCCCATTCTAGGATCTAGAGTAGTTTCTTGAATAAATTTTACCGATCCTTTCCACCGTCAAGTAGAAAATCAAACAAAACACTTTTTTCTTAGCTTCTATCTCTAACAGTTCTTTTAAAATCACCGAAGTCTTCTGCACGGTGCAGACAGCACCATCTGGAGTCATACTGTTAAAGCTTTGGGTCTACTAAGAACAATACATGTCTTTGATCAAGGATGGAGAGATTCTCATCGAGGACTCAAATCCCCCCTTGTATTCGCCACTATTGTAAAAGAGTCTGAATTATTTTCTACGACGTTGTAATTAGTAAAATTATTGATATTGCACATTCGAAACCTAAAGGACGTCACACTTACTTGTAGCATAGAATCACACACAATGTTTGGAATAGATCTAGCATCCAATGGAAGAATGGGACACATGGCGTGAAAGGGTGGAGGACAACAGACCCCTTTCTATTTTGGTGTCGAATCCAACATTATCGATTCAGAACGACACCCTAGCGCTATTAACGGTAAGAATTAAAACTATATATGCTGTGATTTACTCTATAAACGAAAATTCACAAACAGGAAATATGTCTCGATGATAAAACGATAAAATTACGATAAACAGAAGGAAATAAAATTTGTTCGATTAGATATATGCTCTGATTAACACGTATCGTACAATATATTCATTAACAAATGTTCTTAGAAATAAGTGACAACGGCAAAGACAAGTTCCCGAGAAATCCCGAAAACAAGATTATATCGATAATTTCTAGAAGAAATTTTCGAAATTATAGTTTGATATTTTTTCATAATCTTCACTTATTGCTGTAAGGTTTTTAAATAGAACACAAATTAGTAAATAAGTACCTATTTGTATAATGCTATCGAATGTACATAAAAATAAAAATATCCCCCTTATTGGAGAACCTTATACTAGCGTGCGCCAAGGAGAGTTCGCCGAAGAACAAAATAAGTATTTTAAAATGTCTACGTAAACAAGTCAACCAATTGACAACCAATAATTTGATAGGGTTTGTTCCAACAACTGTTTCCTGTACAATTAAGGAATGCTGCATCGTTTTTGCAAAGATGTCTAACGCGGAAAGAACGTCGATATCTTATGGAAACCAGGGATACCCGTTAGAAAAATAGAACACGTTACCCGTTGCACAGTTATGACCGTACCGTCATAATTATTCCGACATTATTTACTCGCGGATTCCCAATATGCGAAAAAGGCAACGTGCGTTTGCACATCGCGCGTACCCCTTCTCACCGACGATCTAGTTCTGCTGATAAATAGCGCGTCGTACTCTTTATAAGATCCAAGAGAACAGGTGCATCGCTATCAGTTTATGAAAACGCAGCAACACAAGCGCGACACGCAACTATCCTCGACGAATATGAAATCATTAATCGTCTTTTGTTTCCTCGCTGCGCTCTGCGTCTTGCAGGTGAGTCGACAAATTCAGTACGTTTATTAATTTAACCCGTTAAAAATTATTAAATTAAAAAAAAAAAACAGTGCTTCTAATACACAGATGCATTTTCAATACTTACACACGCCCGCCTAAATGGAAAGTGGAAGAAAAATTAGTTCCGCGTTTAACGTGTTAAATTCACTCGAATTGTACGAACATAAGTTTCTTTGTTTTAGGTATCGGCTTACAACGAATTGGATCAGTTGAATAGCCAGGCGAAACAATCAAAGAATAATGTTAATCGTATCATGAGGAGCGCACAGCTCAACAGAAACAATCTAAGTAATTCTATAAAAATGAATTTGAGCAACCTGAAGATCAACAGCATGATGAACATAAACGATTATGTAAATCCAACCCTTGATAAAATTCGTGTAAGTTACATTACGTTACATTACAAAAATACGCGTCGAATGCTTTTGGCTACTCTAGAATTTTATAATGGTTCGTCGAAATCGATCATTATCATTTCGGGCGGTCTCCTTTGTGACGTCGCCTCCCATGCTCGCCACCAGAGGGCTCGCGCTCTCACAAGCGCTCGACCGACCCCTCTGTTATACAATCCTCGACCGACTTCCCAATATCCCAGATTGGGGGATTCCCAGTCGTCTAAAACGCGCCCCCAACTTCCCCTATTCTATCCTCTCGCGAATTTCTCGCAGCGCGCCACACCTTGTATGATCTTCTGTCGTTATTAGATTTCTATCTGATCAGCATCTTAAAATACTTATTAGGCCGAAGTGAATGCTGCTAAAGAAAAAGGAATAGATGCCGAACAGTGCTACATTGACGCCAAATATAAGCTCGGGGTCATCAGTCAGACAGGATTTTCCGTCCTCCAGCAATGCAAAACGAATGCGGAATCACTTTTAGAAGTGCAACTACGTGTGCTCGAGAAAATAGAAGCGGTACGCCGTTCAAATATAATTTGTCAAGGTACTAAGTATAATTTATAATCACGTGGGTAAATCTTTACTATTTTCAGACTGGAAACGACTACCTCTACGAATTGTCGTTTCTTTTCGGTAGCTGTTATTCATCAGATAGCTTGGAAATGCAAAACTGCATCGCTCTCAAGCTAGGAAACATCAACAATTCTATCAAATCATATGAGAACGCGATCAATTCGCAGTTTCGCTATACTGAAAAAACCGCGAGGCGAGCAGTCATCGAGGCAAACTCCTGCAACATCAATGCCGTTTCGAAAGTCTACGCTGATACCACTAACACGACAATAAATGCATCCAGATGCATTGGGGGCTAAAGCAAATAGCTGATCTAACTTTTGACTATGCATCAAGTGAAATAAAGCTCGCTCGCATAAGTAAATCGTTTGATTTCATTTCACCGTGCTAAATCGTCTTACACCTCTCGCACTAATCTACACCATGCCTCGCGGAAACGATAACGGAACTATTATCAGCTGATACAAATAATTAAAATATATATTTTGTATAATTACCGATCGCAGATATGTCTCTAATTTTTATTATATTTTATCTGTAAACGAACGTAATTTATTCTCTATATAGACGTGTGTATGCATGTGTGTATTTGACATTAATCGTAAAAATTTGTTTAAAACTTAACAAAGGCCGTGTGATATCATACATGACATTAATATAAAATATTCTATACGCATTTTATAATCTACTTGTAGGTATTCTTAGTTCAACACTCACATATATTCATATATGTATACATTCATATGTCATATATAAATCTTTTTGGGCTTCATTGAAATAAGTAGTCGGTTTAAAAAAGCGATAAAATTGCTTTGTGTAAAAACGAATACTTTCTTACATTCGTACAAGATATCGATTAGAACATAACAACATATTGGAAACTTGGATGAAACCATACTGTATTACAAGACTTGCCTTTATAGTTGGAAAAATCTATTTTCTATATTATCTGTCACATTTGCTAAATTGGTGCTATTCAGTTATATTTTAGTCTTATACACTACTTCATACAGGGGTTGCTAGATTTACTACCTATCTTAACAGACACTCATCTTAATAACAATATAGACATCGAACCACAATAGGGATAGTTTTATTTTTGTCAGGTCATACGATTATTATCCGCGACACAAACGTACCAGCGAATTAACTCGACCAGCTCGTAATTTTTCTGCAATAAATGTATTTCATGTTTTTTTTTTTTTTTTTTTTTTATACTTAAATCTAAGAGTAGCAATAGTAGTTTTATAGCAGCAGCGGCAATAGCAGCAGCAATAATGATAATATTAATAATATTTATCGTTAACATATTTCGATAAAATTATATTAATAATTATAGTTATACTCGTCATGATCATCATCATTTATATAAATATATATTACGTATACACGCGTACATGTATGATAACGCACATTACAGCATCCAAAATTCTGCACGATCATAAGTGTACGCATATGTTACACGCACTGAATTTTCTCATAAGAAATCTTATAGGTATGTTACCAATTCAGCTCACGCAATCTTTTGCTCTACAGTTTCAGTAACTTGGCTTAGATCTAAAATTATAATTTTAAACGTGGAAGTGATCGTCAGCACCGCGACGCGTAATTTCCGTTACTTTTATCATTTTTCCCATTTCTCCTCTATAAATTTATTTGATTTAGTAGGATACATTAGCCACGGTACAAGAAAATATATATTCCCTCGCTAAAAGTTCTCCTTTCTTAAAAGAAAGACACTATTAAAAAATTATACTGAAATTTTTTTATTCGATTTCAAATCATCTTCTTGCATAAACTTAATAATTTTTTTAATTTACGCTATAATACTAAATATAAATAGACAAAAAATGTATAGTTTCTGGAAAACAATCACCAAGTAGCCTCTATACATTGTGTGATATGTTTAATACAAAAACGTCTTTTTAAAACATTTTTGACTAACTTTAATCGTACTATGATAAATCTTTCAAGATCGAGATGTTTGAAAACTCGTGCACCGCGGTTCGAGACTCTCACCTCAAGGAGGAATTTAAGAATACGTGAAAATACTAATGTACAAGTATTACGGGGCGCATTGGAAACATCAAATAACAAATTATCCAACTACCGAGTTAATTTGAAAAAGGGGATTTTCTCCTCGAAAACGCACTAGCTTTTTTGAGACAGAAACAGCCGTGTAACTTCACGACAAGATATTGTTATGTTGTTTTTAAATTTCATTAGTATCTCAGACCACACCATGACCAGCAATGTTTGCGTTATTAAATAAATTCAAAGGGAGTTTTCTAACTGTAATATAAATTTTAGACATTTCATTTCATAAAATTATCTATTAATATATGAATAATATAGGACTATGAACAATTTCCATTCCGTTTGACAAAAAGCAACATCCGAGGGACAATCAAATGTATCTACCCACGAATCTTAACTATTTCCTAGAGCTCGTCCGTAAATGCGATTGTACTTAATAAATCATGAGCAAACTCTTTTGCAATGATCTAATTATTATGCTAGGTGTGTTCCCGACCAGTGAATTTTTCTCTCGAGATAATATGTATGTCTATGGTGGTTCGAAAACATCATAGTATCACTCCACGACGAAGGACATCAACGAGTTGTAAAGATGCAATTGAAAAGGGCAGTTCATACTGTTCGCCATACCCAATAAGAGAGCATTACAATATTCAGAAACAATGTGTTGAACATATTGCTCAACTCGCCAACCATTTATTTGGAGAGTTAAGTATAGCACGAACACACAATACGAAATACAACATAGTCCCTTATGCGAGGAAGTGAAACGAATGCTCCATGGTAGAAAATTTTTAGATTGTTCGGAAATTTTTTTTATAGATTTAAAACATGTTGCTTACGAATTATTTCACATACTAATATATAATCTAATAATAAGAATTTTTTTAACGATGCGCATACTCGAAATTACCTTAAATAAAGTTTTAAAGAAACCAGGGAGCATACCTGGGACTTCCAGAACATATCAAGTTCGATGTAGTATTTTCCAAAATGTGCAGGTACGCGAATGTACGATCTGCCCTGTACATCTAGGTGCTTGTCCAAAGTTTACATCGTCCCAAGACCTAGCAGGCACAAGAGTCACCTTTGCCATTGTTTCTTTGGTCATTGGTCAACTTAATTTGGTCGGGAAATTCGTTATACAACTCCACCTGAAACAGACAAGAAATAAATTATATAAATGTAAGAAATCGAAGTCACTGTATTCAACTTACTTCGCTCTCCTGAGCTAAAGCGTTCTTTGCTATCGTGTAAAAGGCTTGTTCAACGTTAATGGCCTCTTTAGCACTAGTTTCAAAGAATGGTATATTATTTTTAGACTGACACCATTGTCGCGTTTTCTTACTAGAAACCTGAAACACATTAATGGAAACAAAGATGTTTAAAATTTTAACTAATAGGAATGAATATCAATAATATCAATTCGTTGGTGACATATTTATACTAAATATCTTACCACTCTGGTTTCTAGATCAACTTTGTTTTCAAGTACAACAAACGGAAAGTTGTCTGGATCTCGAGGTGAAGCTTGAATTAAAAATTCATCCCGCCACGAGTCTAGAGATTTGAAGCTGCTCGGTGCAGACACATCAAACACAAGTACGCAACAATCTGCACCTCTATAGAAAGCAACACCAAGGGACTGAAATCTTTCTTGTCCTGCTGTATCCCAAATCTACATGAATATAAAAAAACAAAGGATAAATTGATGAAAAAATGTATAGAAAATAATAATATTAACCTTATAAAACATATATGTTTACCTGCATAGTAACTACCCTATCATGTACCACAACTTCTTTGGTAAGAAAATCTGCTCCAATAGTAGCTTTATATTGATTACTAAATTTTTTGTTTATATATCGATTCATAATAGAAGTTTTACCAACTCCCGAATCTCCCAGAATAATAACCTTAAGCAATAATTTCTTACGAGATGCCATTGTAAACTAAAAATAAAAGACACCCATATTCGTTAAGATTCTTGTCAATACACCAAATCAAAAGTTGCAAAATATTTTTTACTAACGTATATTGTTTGCACTGAAGGTTTTGTTTTAAAAATATTGTACAACGATAATACTAAACTATGTAATTATAAATTGAAGTCAGTTACTCTACAATCAAGCTCATATATGTTGCATGCCCAAATCAAAGATAACAATATAGTGCAAATAATTGGTATGTGGCGAATGAATTATTGACTGTTATAAATAAATATGACGATCTTTGCTATAGAAGGAAAAAAGTACAATACCTTGTAAAATAATAATTATAAGTCGAATATTCCGATGTGAGATTATTTTCCGTCGATGAATAAATATTGTATTAGGATGCAACAGCTTCGTATATAAAAGTACACTAAAATTATATAAACGTAGAATGACGGTCAGAGTATTATAGACGCATGACTATTTCGTACATAATTGAATGTGAATGGGAAAAGTACTCCCCTTGTAATGACGTATCTATGTACATTACTTGACAAAAACTATTGCGCAAAAACGTTTCGAACGAGCATTTTGGCGGTTAACGTCTAGAATATTTGAGCGATACTATCGTGAACACACAACACACCCTCGGAAGTGCAAAAATAGATACAGTAAGGCATTAACATATATGATCGAATAGAGACAAAATAGAATCCGTTTAACTGCGATGCTTAAAAACCTGTCAACACGCGATCTCGACAATTGGAATTTACTAGAACGATTGGACTAGTGTCTTAAGAAACGTATATGACGCGCATCAAAAGACGTAGACGATGTTTTACAGAATAATAAAAATATCAATTATAACTCGCGTTACCTTGAATTAGATAGAAAACAGTGAGTGAAACTTTTCTGAGCCAGCACTTCACACAAAGAAAATGGCGTGTTATGAAATCACGAGTATGACAACGATGTCGTCACCTGTTCTTCGCCACTTTTATCGACCGAGTACGATTAACACTCGATTATCGAGATCGATCCAACACTCGATACACATATTTGAGATTGATAAAGCGGTAACATTTAAATGCATTATTATTTTTTCACGACGATACAAGGACGACGATTTTTTTGGAATTATAAAATGGAGTTTCCAAAAAGTAACGTTACTTTTATTTACTTAACAACACACAATGGAAGAAGCGGTTACATTTATTTCAATTACGTGAAATAGACACGAAACAGGTACCAATTAGAGCATTATAAAAATATAAATTCTTACAAGTACAATATAAAGTACACACTTTGTGTGTACATAATCTAAGCGAATGAAAAGAAAAAGAACAAAAAAATTTGAAAATTATAAGACAACCTATAAATACAAATTCCTCATAATACGAAAATCTTAGAAATGTTTAATCGTTTTATAATCTGAATAACTAAATAACTCTTAATTATAGGTAAATAACTATTAACTTTTATAATAATATTATGTTAAATAAAATAAGGAAATTACATGTTTAAAACATATCTTTTTTTTGATGGTATAGTTTCAGTATGCTCTTCGCTATCAAGATCGTTAATAGATCTTTTCTTGTGATATATATTCTTTAGATGTAATTTTTCGTGTGAGCTTCGCTCCGATTGTGGTGGATCTTCTGTTTCTGTAGAATATTCAACGACCTCATCCTCGGATGATATTCCGTCTTTTACAATATTAGTATTAATGCGATCTCGATCGTTCATTTCACAGTATCTTACAGCCGAGTATCCACTGAAAACCATTTAGAAGTTCATAAATATTTATGAAAATGATAATTTAATCATAACAAGCCTATCCCCGAATACAACACTTACTTTGATTTTCGATAGAGTTCATAGAAGCCTTTATTGCTATTTAATTCGGCTAGCTTGAATAAAAACTTTTCATCGTGGCTAATTACAATTAGTTGAAAATTCTTTTGATATTGTGATCGTATTTTAACAATCCTATGACATCAAAATAATAAGTATGAAAATCGTAAGGACTAACGATTGTAATTATTTCGTATAAATAAGTTTACTAATTAGACAACTTGAAACATACGTGGCTAATGCGTTTGCTAAGCTATCTGCGTTTTGTTGATCCAAGTTTGTTGTTGGCTCATCCAATGCGAGAATTCCACAATCTTTACAAAATGTTTCTGCTAAAGCGAGCCTTATAATTATGGACGCTAAAACCTGGAATAGAATGTACACAAATGAACACATTTGTTACCTTTTTGCGGCACTGTTGTTAGAAGATAAGGTTTACTTTTTGTCCAGCACTACAGCGACCTTTCATATCCAAGTCATGACCATGTTTTGTTTGAATTAGTTTATAGTTGTATGTTCTCTTTCTAGACCCTACACCTTCAGTAGCATCTGTGCGAATTTCTATAGATGTCGTGTCTGTACCAGTATACACAAGCTTCCACAGTTTCTTTATAATTCTGTTAATTGTTGCCATACGTTCTTCATGATACTCTATCATAGCAATATCTAGTGCTCTACTATACGCTTTTAAATTTATTATGGTTTCTTGCACCACCTGGTATAAAGATAAGTTATCTCAAAATTGTATTACCATTGATATTAAGCTACAAATAAAATAAGATGTTCATTATATATTACTGTTAATTCGATGCACTTGTTCTTATAATTCGTACGCGCTTGTTTGTAAGTTTCCTTCTTCAGCTCTCGAGTATACTGTTCTACAGCCCTTTCTAATTCTTCTTGATTACCTTTGGCCATGTTTTTCTAAAAATATTTTAGTCTACCGTCATATGTTAATCTAACAGTAATTATACTGCCTACATATATATATTTACTAGAATATTCTACCTGACGCAATAGAAGTTCTGCTCGATTCTGCAAGTTTTGCCATTCGTCTAATATTTCAGCGTAATTTATAACGTACAATTTGTCTTGTATATCTGAATATTGCTGTTTTAAACTTTTGATATTGTCATGAGTTTTGCGCAATATAATATTATCGGATAATTCCCTTTTTCGGAACTCATGGCAAGTAATTTCTTCCTTTAGTTTATTTATCGTTGCTTCGGTATCACTTTTCTCGCGGAGAAATTTATTGATAGAACTTTCATAATTCTGTATCTTTAGATCAGTACGTTCCAAAGCCTCGGGAATTTTCTGATGCGCATATACTTCAACTTCTTCTTGTACTTTATCTAATTCCATTAAATTACTAGTTCCGTCTGTTAATAGTTGTCTATCAGCATCGTGTTTGTTCCGAAGATCTCGCTAAAACAAACAAATAATCATATTTAATTTTGTTGTATGCACTTTGCATAAATACGCCGGTAATAATGTAGCAATATTAAACACACTTTCTTTTTATCTAATCTTTCAAGCCCTAAATTTAATTCATTCTTTGCTGCAGTCACTTTTTGCCTCAGAGTGTCTACTAATTTTCCAAGCGAGATTTCTTTCGAAAACAATGTTTCCTGCTGATCTCGCAATTGTCTTAATTGTTGTATGTGTGAACGTATTTTCAACAGTTCCTCGTGCAATGTATTTTGTTCATCCCGGGCGTTATGCATTTTTTCATTGTGCGTATTTATTGCGGACTGTAAACATTCAATATCGTCACGAATTTTTTTTAAAGATGTTTTCAGTTCTTCTCTTTGACTTTGAGCTTCTTCGAGGCTTCGTTTTGATTTAATTCCTGCATACACAAAATTTGTAATGATAAAAGTCACATCCAATCGTCAAAAATTAATTTCTGCGATATACCTGCAAAAACCATGCGAGATTCAAAATTATCAATTGTTTGTTTATGTTTGAAAATTTCATCGACGCATCTGTCCCATAACATAATATCACCCATAATGTCTTTGCACATCGCGAGTCTATTTTCAGGATCAATCATTTTTTCTTTTAACTTTGTTATAGATATTTGTGATTTTGTCAGGCTATTTCTAGACTCTTCCAAATTATTCCTATAAGTAAATGGAATAATGATTTATAAATTTAGTAGAGAAAATGGTAAATGAACGTATAAAAGACAATACAATATTTACATTAGTTTGTCTGATTCATTTTCTTCTAATTGTATTACTTTCTCAACTACCGGCTTTAATTGTAACATCTTATCATATTTCTCTTGTTGTGTCTTCAATTCAATTTCACAGTCTTTCAAACGGTTTGGATGACTTTCCATTTCAGTTTCCATTTCTTTCAATAAGTTCTCTATCGTTTTGCGTTCATCGAAGCCTCTGTGGCACAAAGGACAACAGGGATTTATTTCTCTCAACTGTTTCATGTACTCTTTATAAGCAGCGCCTTGATGAGCATATATCCCCCTTTTATCTTGTAAATCTTTTACTTTTCTTGATTGTAATAATAAAGCTTCATCAAAGTCCTTATAATGACAAATTAATGAAATCCTTTTTTTATCGGCTGCAAAGAAATTGTTTATTAACGATAATTATAATAATAGGATCTATAAATATTGACTCTAAACTCACACTCTATCTCTTTCTTTTTCTTTTTAAGTTCGTGCTCAATATGTGATATTGTTGTTTCTAATGTTGTACAACGACGTTCTTCTGTCTGAATTTCCCGCATGATAGATTCTATCTGATTTATCTAGAATTGATCATGTTAATAAAATTAATAAATTACACAAATTATGCTATCTGTGTGTGTGTAATAGGTTCTATTTTATTTACCAATTCTTTCTGAGCCATACTTAAATCATCTTTCAATTTAGTTTGTGTTAGTTCTTTAATATCCAATAACTTCAATATTGTTTCCTCGTGTTTGGCTTTCAATTTTTGTAATTCTGTTTCTTTAGACAGCAATGTAGATTTATGTATTTCCAATTCAGCTTGTAATGAACTTTGTTTCAATAATGACGCTATTTCTTCATCAACTGCATTTAATAGCGCGTCCGTTTCATCTCGTGACTTAATTTTATCAAGAACCTCTTTCTTCACAGTATCTACATCCATTATTTTATTCAATTCCTCAATTTTACGTTTCACAGCATTCATTTTTGTTTCAAGAGTGTTTACCGTACTTGCTGCAGTACCAATACGTACTATTTCCGATTTTATTCTATCAATTTCATCTCTTGTTTCAACTACTTCATTTTCTTTTAGACTCTTTTCCGACTCAATTTTTGAGTATTCATTGCGCAAAATATCTATTTCCGTTTGCATTTCTTTCTCTTCTCCATCTCTTTTTATTTTGTTTTCTTCTACTCTATTCTCTAACTCCCGCAATTTTTCCTGCAACCTTTTAGAAAGAGCTAAAAATTCCATTTGAGATATATTAGAATTTATTTTATCAAGACCCCAAGCAGATAATGCGTCATTTAATACTCTGTTGCGGTGGGCAATTTTTTTTTCTTGATCTTTGATCTGTTGCTTCAAGGTACCACTGGTCACTCTTTCATCAGCTAATGCGCTCGCTACCGCGGATTCTTTTTTAGCAATATCTTTTAATCTCATCTCAAACTCTTTTATTTCATCAGTTTTCCCCATTAAATTTTCATCATACGATTTTATCTCTGACATTAATTCCTCCATTGTTCCCTCAAACACATCTTGTATATTTTCTTTCAATCTATTCAATTGCTGTTTGGACATATCATATTCGGTTTTTATCTGTTTCTCCTCAGCTTGCAAATTTTTGTAATCGGAATCTAGCTTTTGCATTTTATTAATCTTTTTATCTATAGGTACCAATTCCTGATTAATTTCATCTATTTTTATTTTGATATTGTTCAATCGTTTTTCATGGTCTTCAAGCTTTGTTTCTTTATCTACAACTTCGGAAACAATTAATTGGCAATTTTGTTGTTGCTCTTTCAATACAAGTATTTTCTGTTGGTAGTCTTTGCTCAGCTTTGTAATATTTTCAAGAGCTTTATTGAATCTAGCACTATCAAAAATTTCATCAAATTTTTCTTTCAACTTTTTACCATCTTGAAATGGCCAACTAAGATCCTCTTGGTGACAAAATATTACATAGTTCAAAATTGATCTTGTTACTCCCATTGCTATTGTTAGCTCAGTATCGACGTTAGCACATCGATTGGTTATTGATACTGGCTGCGTTAATAAATAATAAAATCAGTAAGAATATGTGGATAATATAGAAACATACACATGCAATGATATAAACAATTTACCTGTGTACTACCTTTTGCCATTCTACTCAAGGCACTATCAAGAGTTTTAAATTTTACTGCTAAATTTGCTTTCGATGATTCTATTGTTCTACATATTGTATAAGTATTACCAAGAGCATCAATTATTTCAGCTTTTACGACTCCCCGCATCTAGACAAATATAAATATTATTATATAGAGACTTTGGATATTAAATTGTGATAACAAGTGTAAACAATAAGAATGAAAAATCGTACCATAGAAGTTGCTGATAAGGTCGGATCGTGGATAAAAAATTTCCCGCGATCCGAGCTGGGTGGAAATTCGCCGCAAGTAGCAAATTTAAGAGCTTCGATAATTGTCGTCTTCCCTGTGCCATTTGGACCAAGTATAAGTGTTAAAGGTCGCGAAAATCGTATTTTAGCCTCTTCGTTATCGTCGCCGAAATTACGAATGCCACGTACGGAGAGTCTTCTTATTCGTGACATTGTTCAAAATATATGAGCACAGTTCTAATAATTCCAAAATAATTCAACGCTGTAAATTGTAACAATGTATTGAAAAATTTTAATCAACGAGTAAACAATGTGTTGCGTCGTACATATTTTGTGCATAGAAGTTGAATTACTTCATTAATATTATTGTACATCAAATGCTGTTACGAGATAAACTAAAAACGTTTTATATGATTGGAATATGTATTTCTGTCAGCGTTGATGCACGTAAACAAAACCGGCGACTCGGCAGAACTTTGATAAGAAGTGATTCAGTCTCAAGTTTCAAATAGATTCAAATACAATAGAACGCACATAAGGTACTATTTATGTGTACATAAATGCAAATGTATCATGTATTTTTATTTCTAGAAAATGATGTTTTAAATATTGGTTACAAGAATGCGCCAATTAATATTAGTTTCCTTTGAAGATCTTATACTTTGCACAGGGATTCTCAATGGGAACCATATGACCCCATATTTTTATGTAAGTTATGGATTTCCATGTAATTTTTTTCGGTAGTATATATAGCATTTATATTTTGATGAAAGAAACTGCAAGCAGCTTTTTGCAGTTACTATGTTTTCAAACGCAAAAGAGAATCTTTCAGTGAAAGAGGGGACAGGGGGGGGGGGTGTTTAACACAACGGTTGATTACACGAAATAATAGAGCACGATATTAATTATAAATAAAATAAATATAATTGCGAGGGTATAAAAATATCCCATATTATCAGTTAAGGGTTGATCGAGGTTGCATTATGATTTATCACTGATAAGTTCTGGTGATGATTTCTAAAAACATCGCTTACGATTTCACGTATAGGTTAACGTAGTACATGAAACATAGCCGTGGCAATGGACATTGAAAATTCTATAATTTTCTAAATGACAACACAATCAATATGGTATTTTTTAATCTTCCAATATCTGGAACAAAACAGTTTTTATATACATCGAGGAAATTGAAAAAAACATTGTTATCGATTGTTAAAACGACAGCACATTGTTATGTTTACAACAGAGAATCCCATGCAATATCGCAAAATGCTCCGTGGAACGTATTATTTTTTGGTACGGACGAATTTTCTGTCGAGAGCTTGAAAATCTTACATGATAAGCGGTAAAACATTTTTACATTTTGCGTGCACTCCAATTGTTTATACTTCGTATGTATGCTTGTGATTTAAAAAATATATTTAATTATTCGTTTAGTAAATCCAAAGTTTTACAACGATTAGAAGTTGTTACAGTAAACAAAGGGAAAGAAAATGCCATTATAAAGTATGCAAAGGAAAATGGAATTATTATACACGAATGGCCAATTGAAATTAATGTACCTAAAAAATTTCATATTGGGATAGTTGTTTCATTTGGTCATTTGATTCCATCCAACATCATAGATTCATTTCCATTGTAAGTTTAATTTTTTAAAGAAAAGCATTTCTTTTAAATAATTGACACAGTGGCTGTAGAATAATATGCTTTGTTCGAATGTGTATAATTTTACTTTACAGGGGTATGTTAAATGTTCATGCTAGCTTATTACCAAGATGGAGAGGAGCAGCACCAATAATTTATTCATTAATGAATGGAGAACAAGAAACAGGAGTTACAATAATGAAGATATTGCCAAAAAAGTATTATTTAAGAATTTGATATAAATTAAATGCCTTTATAAGTAACAAGTTTACCGCATTGTTACTTATAAAGAAATTGATAATAAATCTATTTTAATAAAGTGTACATCTGAGAAATTCAATATTTTTTTCAGATTTGATATAGGAGAAATAGTGTTGCAAAAGCAAATTGATATTGGTGAGCATGAAACATTGCCAGAATTATATGCTAAATTAGCAAAATTTGGAGGAAATCTCTTGGGAGATATATTCGACAATTTACCACAATTAATGAAATCTGCAGTACCTCAAAATGAAATGAATGTTACATATGGTAAATATGTACATATTTAAATGATTCACAATACTATTTAGCTAACAATATAAATATTAAATTTCTTAATTCATACTTTTCAGCACCAAAAATAACATCAAAAATAGCTTCAATTAAGTGGAATGAAATGTCAGCAAGCAATGTTTATAACTTATACCGTGCTCTTTTAGGATTGTATCCATTAGTTACAACATTTCAGAATACAACAATAAAATTACACGATATCAAAAAGATCGAAAAACCAGTTCCAACAGAATTGATAGAAGAAATGCCAGGTAAAAGAACAATTTTATACATCATCTTACATATGTACTAATAAGGAACAAAAACATTAAATAACATGAAAAACATGAAATGTTTAAATTTTATTTTATGTATAGGTTGAAACTATTGTTTACTTACAGGGGTTGTAATATATGATAAAATAAATAGTGTATTGATTATAAAATGTAAGGAAGATTGTGTTTCTGTAAAGAAAGTAGTTGTTCGCGGTAAACCTGCTATGAGTGCACGTGACTTTAATAATGGTTATATATATGGTAAAAATAAAACAAAAGAATTCTTTTCATGAATTACTTATCATTTTTAAGAAAACTGTAAGAAAAATGTAAGATTAAAACGTTTAGAATGTACAAAAATAAAAATTGCAATATTAAATGTTTTTATCCCTTAAATTAAATTAGATTTCGAGGAAAATATAAAAAATGTTAATGTTATTTAAATATTAAAAAAAAAACAAAAATTAAAATTGTAATGCATAATAATTATTTCTTGCAAGTATGGGACATTCTTATACTTAACTTTTTTCTTACCTTTGTAAATATATATTTGGAATTTTTTAGAACATGGGCCATCATATATACATATATATATGTATATATATGTATATATAGATATAGCAACTATATAAAATTAAGCAGAGAAGAAGTCAATTGAAAATAAGTACTGAAAACCTCACTAAACGAATGCAAAAGTTCTAAAATATATTTAAATGTAAAATTTGCAGTATGTACTTTCAAGAGACTATTTAATCGGAGGAAAAACTTTTTGACTATATTTTGTATATTTTACAAAAAACATATTGGCATTCAATGTCTTAATTTATTTAAACGTGGAATTATAGCTGCAGACATAAAATTGTTGATATTAAGTCTCAGTTTCAGAGGCCTGAAATAAAAGAAATATTTTTACTATTACAGATTCTTTCTTTTATTGAATTAATTTAGCTTCAATATATATTCCTAGTAACAATTTCAGGTCAAAGATAAAAGTATCCATAAATAAGTTTTAGTCTAATTTGTTACTTTGGCCTGCTTCAAAATTATATGAAGTATAGGTGTATTATCCATCTTTTATGAAGAATTGTTCCCATTTTCTTATAAAAGTGAGATTCTAATTTTTTTTTTTCGTATTAATAACTAATTGCCATTCGATATTTCGTAAATGGAACGTTGTATTCGATTAGTGAATAAATAAAGATGGCACTGCTTTTACTGAAAATAATTAGTTAATGTTAGCAACTAGTTATTAATAAGATTGTTTTTTCTACATTTAAAATTATTGACAAAATTTCAGATTTATATGTGCTTAACATTAAAGTACTTTATATTTTGTCACGTGCTCGTATTCTCTGCACTATCGATCGCATTGTAATTTGATTCATTTTACGCATCAATACCAGCTACTTACATATTAGTCTCTTTTTCTTACGACTAAATAAAAAGTACCTTAAAAGTACCTTTTGTTTAATGTTTCATTGTATACGGATAATAAATAATAGTTAACTTACACTAGGATCGCAGTCTGCACAATGCCAAGAGTAGCCTCTTCGTTTCGGCGATTTTTTAACCGGTGGATCGAGACAGGTGAAGTGGTAGCATTTTTTACATTCATCACACCTGGGACGTAAAAAGTGGAAATGTCATAAGTTCGGAATACATTTAAAAGTTCGGCATATGTAATATATTTATATAAACTGACATGACGAGATTTTGACTGGTGCCAGGCATATCACAGACATTGCAGTGTGTTAGGAGGTCTGTATCTTTTCCACGTTTTGCATTTCCCGTAGATGCCCTATTACTTGTATTATTAGTAGATGCATTTGCTGTTACAGATACAGCATTCGAAACTAAAGACTGGACTGGCAGTGTAGATGGAACTGGTAGGGCTGGTAGAGCAAGCGGAGCAGGCAGCGGAGGTGGTAGTTTAGGTAGTGGTGGAGATGTTATTTCAGTACTGGTAGATGTGGCTACGAACATCTGCGGACTTGATTCGGAAGCAACTTCACCCTCTGGCCTTGGTATTGGTTTTATCTGTTAAACAAAATAAATGTAAGTCACCGTTTTTATTTCCGTAATTGCCGGCAACCATGTGCGTATAGAGCATGTTTGGAGCAATATGCATAGGGCATTGTTATTAAAATGGATTTCGAGTCTCGAATTCTGAACTCCTATTACGGTTAAAATTAGTTTCGCGGCTTAATTGAAGCTCCGAAGGCTCAAACTTTATATGTTTTTGTCATAAAATAATAAGAACATACCTTTATCGTTATCCTCCGATGAACTTCCGGTTGACTTTGTCCTTCCGGATTCTCCACATCGAGACTTTTCCTTTTATGTTTCCGTTTTCTTTGTTTCACTCCCGTAATTGGATCAGGCGTGTATCGTTTGTGCTTCTCCCTGATGACGCGTAACAGAATTTAATATTCCATATTTGTTTCAAAAAAAAAAGCATCTTACAGACCTCCTCCTTTTCTTCGCGCTCCTCTGCGAAACAGATTCTGTGCCATCCGCCGAAGCCACCATATATTCAGGCGATCCTTCCCTTGTAGTTATTGTCACATTATTAATAAGCTGTTGATTATATATCGGTTCTCCCGGCTGAATGGGAGTCGAAGATGGAGGATGTGGCCCAACTGGTTTTATAGTTACCTATACATATTTCATTTAAGAAGACAATATTGCATTGTCTATTTTATTTCGAAATTTTGTTTTGACCGCAATGGAACAGTAAAAAACGGAGTACTGAATGTTAATTACCTTTGGTGTTGTAGGAGTATCAGGAGCTGTGACGTTCGTTATACTACCAAGACTAGCAGACGAATTTTTTGAAGTGCTAGGAGTTGTTGGCGTTGTAGGCACTTGCACTTCTTGCGGCGGTGTTGGTGTTGGCGTCGATGTTAAATTAGAATCGTCCTTACAATGCCTCAATTTACGCGGAGCTGACGTGTCAACGCGTTCAACTTCTGATCCAGAAGATTCCTTATCGCACTCGGAACACTGCCTGTAGTTTAAAAAACGATACAAACTCAAACTTGGTTTATTTCAAACATAACTCAAAGATATATTTATGAATAATAAAAAATATAATACCGCGATAAGACACATACCATCCCATTAACTTTGTTTTCTTGGGCATACGCGACAGGGGTGGACTGAGACAAGATAAATGGTAATGAAGGTGACACGTGTCACATTTTGCAAGCAGATGTTGATTCGTAGATCTTCTGCATATTCCACATTGATGCCTTAATGTCAATTCACCTTTATGGTTTTGATCTTGTGCCTGACTACTTAACACTCTACCTTCGCGCACACCTTCTACTCCTTTGCCAACTGGTAAGGGAAAGCCAACACCCATCTTTAAGGCAGCTGCAGTTGGTACACCTAAACTTGTACCTGTTGAAAAGAATGATATATTTGCATATTTTATATGCTGAGTATCCATAGGAACTTACCTAAAGTCGGTGTTATCCTTGGTTTCGCTAAATCAGTTATCTGTGGTAAAGGTTTCACGTATCCGCTATTTTGAAGTACTTGATGATACATTTCGATTTTTTCTTTCATTGTTACATTTACGCGAATTTGTTCTTCGTTATCTTTCATCACCTCGTCATACTTTCTATCTAATCTCTGTTGCTCGTTAAGTAATTGAGAATTAACATCAAGCAGCTCTTGCAATCGTCTTTTCATAGATGTTACACGCAAATTGCGATCTAAATAATAACCAATAAATTCTACGCTAAAAGCAGGCGGAATATGCCATTTTTTTCTAACATCGACTAAAGCTACAAGTTGTGCTTCCTGTGCTTCCAACGCAGCTGTATCAACACCCATGAGTTCTGCTTTTCTCGCTAATTGTCGGCAAGCAGACGCCGATGTGGTTAGTAATCGCGGCATTTTTTGGGTTGGTACTGCAGATATTATAAATACTTAGCGTAATAATTAATCGTTCTTGTTACATTTGTAATAAGTAACTTACCCCATGGCGGCGGCCGAGACGCTTTGTGAGCTAAATATTTATGTCTATGTTTTGCTAATTTTCTTTGAATTCTACGTTGCTCTTCAGTATCCAAGTGGTTAGGCTGTTTTAATAACTGTTGTCGGTACTGAGCTCGTAACTGCAGAGCTAACCAGTTGCGCCTACGTCTACGAACGAGAGTTTTATCGGAATGGAGTTTACAATGTGCATAGAATGGATCAGCCTGGTCCACTTCTTCACTATGAGCTTCAGATAATAGACCTTCTCTTTGCGCACTATAAACATATATCGCGTTAATTACTAGGGGTGTGCGAGAACACGAAATATCGGATCGGGACGGGTACCCGAAAGTTTCGAGATTTGTTCACATCAGGTCACATGATTCTCAGAATGATATTTCAAAATTATTCTCACCAGGTAACATGGAAATACGTATGGCACATTCCGGCGTCGCATTCAATGCACACACCAGTGCGAGCAAAACGCGCGTCTTCGCACAAAGAGCATTGTTTTGCTCCCCATTTGCTATATGCCATTTCAAACAGTGTTACACTTGACAAACGGTCAACCTTAAATAATTGAATACACATGTGTATATATATATCTAAAAGTATTTTTTATTTACATATAATAGAAATAAAAACCTTCCATACTTCTCCAAAAGCGACACCAGGTACATAAAGAGCACAAACTAAATGGACCCATTTGCCTACATCAGTCTCTTTAAAAATTCCACCTTTGTTTGGACAGAGTTCACAAGAAGGATCTTCGATGCCTGCACTGCAAGCTTCGCAAAACCAAGGTGCCGACTGACACAAAGAATCAGTACTCGAAAAGCTTTCTACATCTGACACACCATAACATCCTGAAATAAATTTTACTGTGGAATCAAACCATCTTTACATCCAACAATATAAATGAAACCTGAACTTTAAGTTTGCATAAAAACTAGAATGTATATTTAATATTTTTACCTTCATGTACACTAACACCACATCCATCACATTCAACAATTTCATTAATATCATCACTTCTATCCCCTAAGCAACCACAACAAATTAACATTTTATTTAATTTGTCTTCGAGTGGTCCTCCTTTCAATGACTGTTGCCTAGCTTGTTCAATTACATCACCCACAGTCAAATTAGTATTTTCTTTTCTATTAATTAATGGATCCTCCAAGGAATCATCAGATTCTTCAGAGGCATCTTCCTCTTCTTCTACATATATGCCAAATATATTATTCTTTTGATTCAAAATACAAATCAATGTGTAATGACATATTGTTTTACCTTTTCCAATATCATGGGAATCCTCTGAATCATCATCAGATTCTTCACAGTGATCTTCAATTCTGAAATCACTGTCATCAGAACTTTCACCTAAATCAAAATCAAGCAGAGGAGCTGTTCCTACAGGTTTAACTCTTCTCTTTTTTGGATCTCTTTCAACTGAAAGAAGAACATAAGTCAGAATTTATTATTTATTGATGCTTTGAAAGTAGCAGTAAAAGAAACATATATGTTGGTGAAATATTCTCCAGTGAATGGCAGATTTATTTAGAATAGTATATATTACCAAATATATATAAGAAATTAATTCTAGGTTATGTAAGTGTTTAATTTACAATAAATACATACAGAAGCTTGTCATATTACTGTTAAAGTGACACTTTTATGTAATTTCGGTTAAGTTTCTGTGTACTCTTAGAATTACACGGACTTAATTTTTCCCTTTAGTGGTTTTGACACTTCGTATGTGAATAGACAGTTTTTGAATACCTCCCACTACCCAATGAACTCGACGAGTCGTCGCTTTGTAAAATACTGACATACGCGTAATCATAGGACGCCGGCGATGTGAATTAGGTTAATTTTCTGTATACTGTTTCTACTATGTATCGGTACAATGTATCAGACACATAATAATTAAACTAATGAACGTTTTTTTTAATTAAAATTATCGTAAGTGACGATAACGTAAAATTTTTGACAGAAAATCGTGCACATGATTAGGTAACGGTACAATCGTTTAGTCAGGGCGGAAGTTTATGAGAATGTGCAAAAACATATTATTTTTGAATATTGTATTTAGTCAGTGACATATAATATTTATTTTTATTACAAACATACATAGTCATATACTTAAAAAAGAAACGAAATATAATCAGAATATAATACGATAACTTTAATCGATCTTTTCATTTTCTGTAAGTACATTAACAGTAACTCGTGGTCAATGTTATTTACTTGCATTTGAAAAAAAAAAAAACACAAATATTTAATGCGAAATACACCAAAAAACTTAATCGTACCTTACATATTACTTGCTGCATTCGCAGTAAAATAATGTAAATATTGTGTTATAATTCAAAATATAACTTCTAACTTACTCATTGTTTTGTATAAAAATCCTACGTCATCGTCCTGAGACATTCTTTGTAGATATAGATACTCGAATCCACGATAAAAATTTCTCTTATATTTCTTTAAGTATATTTCTTTTAATATGTAGAAATTAAAACAAATATCATCGTATAGATGAACGACACAATTTACATACTATTTTCTATTAATACTTCTGAGGTCTAAGTTAGCTAATTACGCAAATACGGATATATAAAACAAACTTCCTTCGCTAGTGTTATCCTTCTGACGCCGTTGTGTTTCTACTCGAATCAGTAACAAATCGCCATATTGAATTTCTCAAAATCCTTCAGCGGGAACTACAACCAATATCTATTTAACTAATTACTTAATTACAAAGGAAAATTTGTACACCTATAGAAAGTACCAATTAGTTCGTGTAGTAATTTCTCATAAATGTAAGTTGATCCAAAACCATGCAGTAAGTCGTAACATACAAATTTCTTCGGTTCAATTATGCAGAAACATCCTTAAGTTCAATCACAATGGAACAAAATCTTTTATTTTGTGTAAAACTTATTTAACAAACATTTTTTGTCGTAGAAACATACATGACGATTAATAATTCAGAAAGTAGAGAAAATATATGATAAATAAGAAGGAATTTTGGAAAGGCGAAAAAGTAACGATTTAAGACAATACTTTGTATGTAAAATTTATAATCGTTAAATATAAAATAGTATCAAAAATTTTGTTACAGTAGTATGTTTATCTTATAATTTTCTTTATTCATTGTTTTTACAGGATCTTTTGGGCAGTGTCTACTATACACATTACTAGTATCAATTAAAAACAAACATTAAGAGTCAAATTAGGGTCTTGTCCTGTTATAGATCATACACACGGTAAGTACCCCATATTTTATACTTAAATTTCTACACTGAAATTTAAATATCGCGGCGATGTATTTTAAATGTTTATATTGCGAAAATAACGTTCAGAATATTAAATAGTTAAAGAATTTTCGATAACTTTTGTTAACAATAAGTGGAATTTTCATGTTACGATTTGGTGTTACGATTAGCGGTCACCACATGTACTTCGCTACTTTTAATCTAGTGGAAAAAATTTGTTGGCAAATAATTAAAATAATTTACATGATCAATTTATTATTAATTATTGCCTGTATTAGTTTCTACAGTAATGTACATTATTTGACGATTATAATAAAAGGTGTTCACAATGAATGGCAGTAAATTGTGTTGTTCATTGTGTGTGCCATTTTAAACTACGTTATATTAGAACGCGCCGTTTGATAGAATTTTTGACATCGCTTGCATCATGGCTGAATTTGAATGAAACGTGTAGAATAATAATAATGCAGTTGCGAGGTAATCGTTATTAAATTATTATGCATTTTGTTATAACGTTTGGATTTTTAATCCCATTGAAACCCGATGAAAATGTTGAGAATGGTGAAGGTACAGGTATTGGTAAGGTTAGCAGGAAACGAAAACAATGGCGTAAGAAGAAGACAATGGACAAGGATACGTATGAAACCGTGGAATCGAAACAAAATATTATAAATGTTGGTCAAGTAGTAGCAGAAATACACGGCGAGTACGAACTACTGCCAGGTTATACTTTTAAATTTGATTGTCGTTGTTGGAAAACAGCCGCGAAGGTACATTACTTTAGAAATCATTTTTTTATACCTTCAAAGCATCATGTATAAAAAGTTATAATGCACATTACAAACAAGGGAATTATGTATTAATTTTTCTTGATATCTTTTTATTAGCTACAGTGTTTTGTTTTGTACAATACAGGTAGATAATTGGGTTTTCTAATGAGTATGGATAATTTATTATTATAGGAGATTGTCATATATACATTGTATCAATCGATTGAGACGATTTAATTAGAATTACTTCAATTATATAGGTATATACTGAGAATGGTGATTGGAGTTTACGACCTATATCATGTCCATTCACAGAAAATGCAATTTGGATTTTATTTTCTGTTCATCATGTTGTTCACTTAAATGAAACACAAATACATAGGTTCTTTAACTACGTGATCACTTATCAAATCTTTTCTGGGAAAAATAAATTATCCGAAAGGTTTGTTAGGATCATTAAAAAGTTAACCAAATTTCTCATCCATATTCATCCAGTTTCTTTTCTTAAATACGTACATTAAGTACCTTTCTTAATGTCTTAAATAGTTACACAACAAAGCAATTAAATAGCATTAAATAATACACAGAGCAAAGAAAGACAAAGTGAAGGGATTCTATATAGATGAAAAGTCAGTCAATGTTGGACAACACGATTTTCTTGAAATATATCCTTCTGATTTGAGTAAATCTGTATCCATTACCAAACCAGTGCCTGAAGCAGTAGTAATCACACATGAAACTGATGGTGATTATAATATCACCACATATCTTGATATGATACCGGGTATCAACAAATTTTAATACCTCTAACAATTTATTTGATTATATAATAAGTATAAGGAAAAACAAATTGTAGTGTATTGTCTAATGATTGGAAAGTTTTGCATTCTTAGTGTTTAGAATCCTTAAGTTTTCAAGAAATATGAATTTCATTTTTTTTTATCAAAATTTCGTTAGATAGTGCACACCAATGTAAGTTTTGGAAAATGATTAGGAAAGACCGTTTCCCATCTGAATCTCTGAAGCTTGAATTACATACAATATCAACCGAAATTGAACAAAAATCGAAATCAAAAAAACGTAACAAGAAACGACCTCGAGCCAAAAAGTCGAAAACGGGAAAGCAAAAAAACGAAGCTACACATGCGATGAGTTTACCCGCGGGAACCTTATTTTCTGGTAAACCAAATTTTCAAAAGTTTCATTCCTAGTTTTCTACACTACTCAGTAACTTCTGTAACTGTAATATAAAAGTTTGTTTAAACAGTAGACCAAAGTTTGATTATGGTATTGTTTTTAGACATGGGTGCAATTACTTGTTACACTGGTATGTCGCGCGTACCAAACGTCTCGTCCATCTTGATTTACGCGCAATGCGCGGATATTTTATGCAACAAGCAGCTGCGAATGGAATTAAACCCCATATCGATTAAATTGGAACAAATGTCAAAATTCCCGGACAACGTAGTAATTGGAAACGGTTTTAATTATCTTTACGCAAAAATTCTCTTTGTCGATCGCGCGATCGTTACGCCGTATTATGTTCCTGCCCGAACAATATACTTCGAATTTGTCAAATGCTTCCTGAGCGACGAATTTCCCGCAGAAAATTTAATCAGCTTCCTGGGAACACAATTCCTCACCGTTGAAGTAAATTAATGTTTACATATGATATTCGCATGTACCGAGCCGCCATTGATGCGTGCTGATACGAAATTTTTCAATTAGATAATCGGTATACGAACCATAAATGTTGCCAAATCCGATTTCAACGCCGCGACAAACGTGAAATCACCGAGAGCGTTAATAATATCTGATAAAGAGGAGGTTCTCCTCGGCGTTGCGACCTTTGATGTATCAGAGCTTATAAGAGGATCGTGGGAGGTCAGATTAACGAGCGGTTTGTCTCATCCTCGCGATATGTACTGTATCGGTATTGACGATGATAGTGACAAAGGACTCGAAAAAGTGTCGAGGACAAATTCTCCGCTTACCAGTGAAATTCTGACGTCATTTGGTACTTGCATAAAGATCAAAGTTCGCGCGGCTTATGATCTACGGCCGGTTCATCGAAATGTCCTGCGGCATGTTATTACACTGAACAGAATTTTTCTGATTTTGAACGATTTTAAACTAGCTAACGACATCTTGGCAGATGTATTTTCTCATAATTTAAATTTACTTTGTACCCTTCAAATTTCGAACGAGGATAATGACTTACAGGTAAAGGGTTAACGTAGAAATAGTATTTATAACAATCGTGTAATAATCTGGTTTAAATTGTCGTTAATTTTAACATTGTGCCGTGGGTTAATATTTCAATAACAATTGGGGATACGCGGCGAAGGCTGATACAGTTAAGTACATAATCGATAAATATAATTCATAGTACAGATAGAAGATACGTACAAAAATATTTTAACCGGTTTCGCGATCGATTGCCGCGACAAATTCTTCATCTTCCTTGAGGGTTTATCCAGAGGATACTTATTGCAAATTTGGGAAAATGTGGCGAAGCTTCCAACCGAAGATGGCTACGTTTATTATAACAGCAGTAGCGTATTTCTCGCGCGACTTTACGAAGATTTCGTGCCTCTAGGTGGAGTTCTCAAGATCAAACTGAGGTAAAATGAAAAATATCAGAAAAATCAATATCTCTTGTCTTATCTATTACACTTCAATTCTATGAAAAATCATTAACGTGTTTTTTTATTCAAAGTGAGTCGCTGGAGGCGCAACTACAGAAGCATGGCCTGTACGTCGGTAAAACGGGAACAATGCTTCGGTCCAAAGCCACGAGAACAATCGGAATGACGACGTTGGCGTTGACCATGAAATCCCTATGTCAAGAATGTTTGTTCCCGCGTCCGAATTACATAAAAGCTTTCATGGATGAAATTCGTGAAAATTATTTTGGAAGTTCTGGATCTGTGTGATATAAAATAATATTCGAATACTCAAACATTAGATGTTTATTACTAGAAATTGTATACTACTGAAGTAATTTAGATAAATAAGTTTGTTCGGTGAGTCGACCAGGCTTATGACACAGACTGCGTTTTTTGTCAAGGCCAGCATGGGGCAAAGTTGGAATTTCCTTTATCGAACAAAGTGTCATAAACTTGGTCGGCGAAGGCAGTCTCGAGTGGTTGCAACCCCAGCGGACTGTCGGATGGCCCACACGTGCTAGGATTCGTATACCTGGGCCTCCCTCGTTCGCAATTAGTGTTTCACGCGGGCCCAGGGACCGAAACACGCGGTGGAAAGTCCCCGGAGTTGCCAAACGTAGCACCCTCCACCTTGGACGGAAGGCTACGTCGGCATCGTTGCACCCCCGCCACGAGAAGTCATAAGTGATTTCGCTCTTACCATCTTCAACTATCAGATAGTGCGCTAGCCTTCCATAGTCTGTCACGTGTACATTTTTCTCGAATTTGAAATATAATACGATCACAATACGTCTCGTCAGTCCCCTGAAAAAGGGGTGGTCCTTCGAACCCCTAGTTTAGTCGGCACACCACGTGCAATCTTTCCACATCCGAATCGATATTCATTTATATTTCGGATTAAACAAAATTATTTTGAATAGCTCCGAAATTGTAATTAATATTAGCTCGACTTATCTGGCGGCGTAGGCCGATTCTAAGTATCGCGGATGCGATTTTGAGGCGACGGCAAGGAAGAGGGCAAACTTTTATAATACAGCGTTCAATAATTGTTTAAAATATTTATTAAAATTATTGTACTGTTTACTTAAAAATTACCCACAAGAACTCCTCGATAGTATAGTGGTTAGTATCCCCGCCTGTCACGCGGGAGACCGGGGTTCGATTCCCCGTCGGGGAGAGGGTTTATTTTTGTTACTTTTTCCTTTATATCTCGCTAAAACATTGTATTATTAATATTATTTACGTATTAACTTATATTATTAATAACCAGTACAGTAAAAGACTATGTTTCAATGATATTTAATATTTGTATTACTATCTTTATTACAGGTACAAGGAAGTGAATATGTAGATAACGATAAATTATCAGCGATAAAGCATGACGATAGCTACAGATCCATATACACTGTCAACGAAAGATGATTTGAAGGTAACGGTCTCGAGATTTATTCCATTCCTTTTCTTACCGAACTAATTGCTCCAAAATACTTACATTTTCAGACAGCTTGTATCGTAAATGCTCTGTCGAACCACGGAACTTGACTGTCGGCGCAAGAATCACGTCGATCCGTTCGCTAAGAATCGACACCCTAATATGGACCCTCATGCTTAGATCACTCGAACAAAGAGAGGTCTGTTCCAAGCGCGTTTCCCACGTGGGACCACTTGAAGAGTAGAAAGGGGGACCTTGAAAATTTTCCAGGCCTTTCATTCGAGCTCGACCATTCATAACAAGTAACAGTTGTTTATTTTTATTCTTTAAGTAAAACTGATATCTATCTCCGAGTCTAGATGTTGTTGCTAGTGGACCTTTATCTAAAGAGTTTCTTTCATTACTCGTAGGATATTAGGATAAAATCTTTTTTTACGGTAATTTAGGGTCAGGTTGCAGAACAGTAATTGACCAGACCTCGGCATTTCAGCTTGTTCGCTTTATTGATATATCGTACGTCTTCGTTATACGACACGTTTCAATCAACGAACGCCACTTAAACTGTCTTGTAGGTGTTCTTTATTCTTTGTAAAATCATACAGCAAAAGCGACCGGAGTCTACATAGTGTAGTCAAGCGAGATACAAGTGACATGATCGTTCAACGGGCAGAACGGCGATTCGTGGTGCCGTTCGTTTCTCCGATCTTCACGGTCGTTTTAAATTCCTCTTCGCGGAATCGACCGGCACCCGTCGACGCGTCGCTCGCCCAACGAATACGTACACACACACATTTGCAAAATTCAGATGGCTCGAAACATGCGAAGTCTCTCATAAAAATCTTACACAGAAGTCTGCCGTTCCCCGCGATGAGCGCCCGATACCCGGAAACTTAACGATTTACTCTGAAGATACAGACGAATGCAATACACGTACACTTAAGTCCTAAGAAAAAACTAGAATCGTTTGTCGATTAATCGTTCTAAAATATAGAGGGTGTCCCGAAACACTGGCCACGAACCAAAAGCAGATTTCTCTTTAAACACAAAATAAATCAACAACGCAGAGTCAAGCTTTTACGAATGTGTTTAAAATTAATTGTCTCGAAAAACGAAGGCTCGTCTATAAAAAAAAAAGAGTTCCATTGCGTATTTTGGGACACCTTTTATATCGCCTAAATCGTTACCCGACCGCACCGCTGGCAATTAAATATCGAACGACGTTAATTCGCGGATAAACGAAATAGAATGGCTTTTATACAAATAGCTCTGTGGTACATAAAATTTGATTTCCCTACTACAATATAGGTATATAATATACATATATATTTATATATTATATAATATATATAATAGCTAATAAATAATCCTTAATAGTTTATTAGTTAAATCTCGTTAATCTGACGGTGCTTATCCAACGCTTAAAATTATTAAATCGCTTACACGTTACGTTTGTTTCGTTTCGTCCGTAATTGGTTTACTTTTTCTTTTCTTCTTTAAACTCGTACCTTCTGTGTTACTTCGTCACCTACTTTAATACCCTTACCTAATAATGATTTACGTTACGTAACGGCGTCGTGTATATCGGCCACCGGTTGCATTTACCACGAAAAAGACGTTTCACGCCGCGATTTTTTTAGCAAATGCAAACGGTAACGCGTAGCTAGAGGGAACACGTGGGTAGAGAGGTTTCACGACGACGCGATTCGAAGTTCTCTTGCTGCAAATAAACGCTTGAACGTCTATCGGTGCCATTTCTGCGACACGTGGCCAAACATTGGCACAGTATTCCACGCGTACAAATGCTGGAAGAAAGCCCTATGGCCGCCAGCTCGAAAGCGTCCTTAGAATTTTAGAAAAATTATTTTTTCAACGACGTCTGATTTTATACTATTTCGAATAACCGAAGAATTAGCTTTATCTCAATGCCTCAAAGATTTTAATAGTATAAAAGAACACCTGCTGGCATAAAGAACAATGGCGAGTTATTATTACATCGATGATGAATGATCAATTGTCTGTTTTAGAAATTACGTGTAAGTTATCGTTAGAATCTGTATAATTTCAATGGTAAATTCTTACACCAAAGAAATCGATAGCAACGACGAACAGAACGATTTGTGATAATCTCTCTTCCCAAACGCGTCAATTAAAAAGAAGTATCGTGAACGTGTATTCGAGTTGGGGGTACGTTGCCTTTCAAAGCGAATTTCTAATATTTTTATTCGTCTTGCAATATCATCTTAATCACTTGTAACACTTCGAAAAACTTCTATGCGCGTGAAGGATCAATTCTTTACAACAGATGGTGAATCAGAATCGTAGAAACGTATCATTTTTCATGATCTCTTGCGGTATTTATTCGTTTTTTGCTTAATTGGTACATAAAGACAAGAAAAAAAAAAAAATAGATGAAATTATAAATTTCCAGATTTCACATTCGGAGACAAGCGTGCAAACGATCTTTTATAATTTAATGACAATTAAATACGACTAAAAATTACACGGTTACGCATTAATATTAAAAATACATGCTCGATTTCAGAAGTATAAATTAGTTTCTATTTTCAGGGGGGAGGAAAAACGAGGGTAAACGGATAGAGAGTCGAATAAAATTTCTTCGACAGGGTACGTACAACGTTTCAACTTTTGATTGAAATAAAGCGGGGAAAGATAAGAATCGACAGAATTTAATCGTTGGAGACGCGCTCGATAAGAGTACGATTTAATCGTATCGTTAATTACATGGAAAAGCTAAAGCGTTGGTTTCTCTTCCTGTCGTACGCGTGTACGTGTATGTACAAAATGTACAAACAATTACGTGAACATGCGACTAGCGTAAGAGGTCGAGCGACGAACAAATAGGACCAGGACCGTTCGAATATCACTATTCCAATACACGAGTATTTCAATATAATTATTCGAGAAATAAACGAGGAACTTAGAGGAGATAATTTAATTCAAATACAGAAAAATTCGACAAGCAGTCCTGGCCCTACGTAACAGATCGTTCGATAAGTTTGACGATTAGTTTTCATTGCGAAGAGCGGATACTAATTGCGTTAGGAACGCGAGAGAAATGAATTCGCCAATCGCTTAATGCGACTGTTTCTTTGGCGGGCGTGCTATGGTACGAGGTACTTCGCTGATCGCGTAATCAATCTTTATAAACCGTTCGATTTTCTCGCGTTCATCGATCGATCTTCGCAAAGGCATCGGAAATATGGCGCCCCGAATCTTATAATTTCAGTAATCAAAGGTAAAATGCAATTACGAACAGAGAATCTTCTCACTTCTCTTACTAAAAAATTATCTATCGTTTGTTCCTTGTGATTAATTGGAATTTAATTTAATTTTTAATATTTGATTTTCATTGCAGAGTTAATACATATCTATCGACGTGATAGCACACGGGACCGAGGGATGCAATTCACGCAAGGACGAAGAGATTTTCAATGAAACTTTGATATGAGTTAAACCTTATAGATTAATCATCGTTACAAGATTTCGAAGTTGTTTCCTTACATTGTCCAAATTTACTTGTCGCGTTTGCTTTCGAGATCAAGAGGAGCCTGTAACTTGGCGTGAGTATTATTTTTACCGCGTGCTCGTTGACGACTGTACAATTGTTCGACACCATTATTTTGTCCGTGAGCGGAGGAAAATAATTCGTATAGCAAATTCAAGATGCGTGAGGTCAGACTGTACAGTTCTATCGTAAGAAGCTTCCACGTGCAATGGCATTGTTCGTTCGTTCTTATCGCGCTAATTTATTGATTTCAGTGACAACTATATCTAGGAAAAATATTCAACAAGTAATTTCTTTCATCTTTCTTGTTCAAACTATCACAGTTTCTTTCAAATGCTCCAAGTGAATGAACCCCGATGCTCGTTAATTTTCAAACAATGTTAGCGTCGTTGGGAACTCTACAAAACGACGAATGTTGGACTATTAAATGTCTCTGTATTTCCCACTAACGTTTAAATAAATACTCGAAGACGTGGAAAGCAGGCATGGCGGTCAAGGTGTTAAGCAAGAAAAATGAAAATGATAATGTATCGTACAGAACAATCGAAGGTTTTATTTATGAAATATTCCTTTAGTGATTACTGAAATCAGTCAATTATTTCTGTCGCGTTGTAATTGAAATCTGGCTCAATGCGCCACGCGAGAAACTTTTCGGTTTTGTCGAGCACAAATAAAAATGGCGCGTGCTTGGACATGCGTCGATTCTTGGCCGAAGTTCTTTGGATCGTTTCGCTTTAATACCTCTGTTTCTTCTTCCATTTACAAGGTTCACGGTGGTGTGTTAAGGATTTGGCCGGATTTTCGCAACGTTTTCGGGTCTGAAAATTAAGGGAAACGTCCGCGAAGGAACAGAAGGGAACTGTGCTCGGATATGCTGGTTCTCGTGAACGCGATTCGGTCGCGAAATAACTTCCATGCGACATTTCTCCTCAAAAATTCGGTATCTTGCATTTCCATTCACACCTATCGCAACCCACGCGCAACGGTTGCTTATAATGCGATTCGTTTTCGGCGTTATGCTTGAACAAGCTGAACATTAAGACGCGTCTACACGAAGAAATAGAGTTCTCGCTATTATTTTTTTCTCATTTTTCATTTCCAGTTAATACTTATCTAACGAACAAACAGCGTTTATTTAGAGTTTATGTATATTTCTATATATATACATATACATATATATACGCGTATATATATGTATATATATACGTAATAATTGTAATAATTATTAATAATTAATAATTCATAATATCAATTCATCCCAACAACAAGTTTTTTTAAGGTATCATCTGATAGTATTTCTGTTTCTTCAGTTCCTTTCTTCGTCTAACTCTTCAATCGTACTTTCTTCCTTCGTCAATATATCTCTGTTTTTATTTTATATTTATTTATATATTCATTTACTTCTTTTATATATATGTATAGACTGATATCAACACGTATAACATCGAATTCCCTATTAATTCTCTTTTTTTTTTTTTATTCCGTTATTTCGTGGAGAAAATTGCGGTAGCTGAACGCGGTCCTTAGAAGTCTCGTTTAAATAATGGCGCGCGACAACTTTCGTCGTCCTTCTTTTAAGTTTTCGGCGTTTCGGTTCCTGTGAACGACACTGTCCCCTCCGTCGCGACGACCTTTTCGCCAGGGGGAGGGGGAAATGAAATCTCGCGACGTTTCATTTCTCACCTTCGAATGCTCGGGTTCGTCTTTCTCCTCTGCGTTTTATTATTTTTTTTTTTCTTTTTTTTTTCGTTTAACCTTCGATCACTAACCGTAGTTTGATTCTCATTGTCCTCTCTTTTTCTCTTCGTTCAAGAGACACGCGCTAACTTCGTAATTACTTGTACACGCATAGCTAAGCTCTTACTAATTCGGGGGAATGAAACTTTGCTCGTTATTTTTGCCCTCTGTCGGTTGCTTCAAAACGCGATTTAACCCTTCGCACCGTTCACGATTGTCGATCGATTAGGATTCTAAATCATTAGAAAATTATTTCAAGGCAGTTTAATTATAATCACGGATAACTGTTCTCGAACGTATTCGGTTTACTCGCATGAATTTTTGTTGTCCAATAATACAGGGTGTTCCGTAACATGCGTTCATCTGTTCTCAACATGTTAAGGGACACCCTGTACATGAATTACCTGGTGACTAGACATGTGGTGATCGCGAAAGGTTAAACCCGAGTGCATAAATTTAAACGAAACGCCAACCCGACAGTAATCTCGACAGCGACTCAATAGTGGCGTGGTGCATTGGTGTTGATGACCCTATATTATATGTATAGATATATCGTATATAGTACTGTACAATCGATGAGAAAAAGGAATTTCTGAAAGAGTATTTTCACGGTATTACACGTAGTGTTCGCTCGAACGAATCCTCTCGCTGGAGGAGGATCCAAAACGCAACTTTGCTACTTTAGGTCTCCAGCAATCCACATTCCTCAACATCCTTCGTACTTTCTGCTTACGTTACATTTATCACAAATTTACATAACAAGTTGTAATAATTCTTAAGAGTTTGCTCGCGAACAAAATGGTGGTTGACCTTCTACGCAAGAATGTCGTTCGAATCTTGCAGGAATTACATTTTTTAATTGTTTCAGGTGAACGCAGTTCTACTTGAGAAACCTGAACACGTGTAACGCGAGAGAAGCGTTACCAATTTCTCTTCGAGCGCGAGGATTCGTTCGCGCGGCGTAATGTCGGAATGTGATCGAGTCGCCACTGGGCAAAGCTCCGCTCCTTTCGACGACAGTTGTACAAAAACCCGTTCGCAAGCTCATCCGGCCTGCAATGCGACGTGGCAGTATTATCAGTAAGTAGACAGTGTAGTACGATATGATACAGAGAGCAAGTGTAATCGGAAGCCATCTTTGTAGCGCGGCGGCGAATCGCTCGTCGAGAGGCTACGACACCCCTTTGGGATCGCTTATGGCTTTTCGACGCAGAAATACGTCTGTTATCGCGGATGCTTCTAACCCAGTGATTTTCAAACCTTTTCCATGAATCAAAGTTAAATTGTCTTCATAAATTTCGAACCGACAGAATATTTTACAAGCATATCAAATGAAAATGAACGGTGTAATTAAATTTCAGGAACGAGAATGTCGTTTGTTATCAGGATTGCAACGTGTTCCATAACTTTGTAAATCACTGGTTAAACCCTTGTGTTGCCGGAGACTCTGTCGCGAAGCGTGTGCTATGAACGTAATAGCAGTGCAGCCGACGCTGTGTGCTTGGAGACTTTATCGCGCGTTGAGGATACATTGTTACGGAAAGCCTATGGGGGCGGTTCACCGCACGCAGAGCGCCAGCGACTCGGTTTCCGTACGAAAATCGGCCGCGTGCCTCGCGACGCGATTCGACGCGCTGACAGAAATGACGCTCGCACGCACACACACACACGCAACACACGCACACAGAACTATAGCTCATCATTGTCAATGAAATCGAAGTATACCACAATTAGGCGAGACGTACTTGTATGATAGTTATGGCCTGAATATCGACGGCTAACGCAGACGCGGGACATTTGCTCTACGCCTGTGTTTTTTTTTTCCGCTATAGTAATCAGCGATGGAAAGGACGCGATCCTTATTTACCGCCAGGCGGTGGATCTCTCATCGGCCCCTTGTACTCAAAGACGGTTCCCCGAAATCTCTGCTCTGCCCCCGTGCCTCGTCCCTCGTTCGTGGGTTTCTCTAAATTACTTGGTACGGTTGATTAATTATTTGGTACGATCAATGGCGTCTCTGACCCGCGAAACTGTCCCGCCGCGCGATCGTCACTGCTTCGAATGTCTTTTTCTCTTCTTTCTTGCGCGGAGACCCGAACTCTCGTGGACGTTTGGACGCGCGAGACCTGGACCCGGTCGTATCGATACGATAAACCCTCGAATCAAGAGAATCTTTGACCTTACAACTCGTCGGTAAGATGACCGCTCCAATGGAGATCCGAGGATCCGCTCGAGAGCCTCGCCTGGTCGATCGCGGTCATTCTTTCGCGCGACCATAAGCGAAACTCTCGAGCACAGGTGCGTGACGGTGACCGCTCGGATCCCGGGACTCGTCAGGGTCGTTCGGGGATAAATCGAACCCCCGAGACGCGCGTCCAAGTCCAAGAGCCTCGAATCCGATTCTCGCGCGCTTCGCTCGCCTGGACGAGGTCCAATCGGAGACGGTCCCGAAATAAATTCCTAGGTGCACCTATGACAGACTCGACAGACACGCCCTTAAAGCAGCCACTTGGCTACCAGGATCATGATCAGATGCGGCGCCAGGCTAACGACCGTCGCCGTGTTACCCTTCACCCTCACGTCGCTGTCCTTCAGGAACACGGTGTCGATCACGTGGATGATCCCGTTGGTGCACTCGACGTCCGGGCGGAACACGCGGATCCAGTTCCCCTCCCACTCGATCTGGTAGCCTGCAAAGAGAGAACGGTCCCGATCAGCGAATCGTGCATAGAACTTACGAAGGATTCTCTTGGACGATCGACGAATGAGACGAACGAAGCGAGTTGCGATGTTGGCAGCGACAGACGGGAGATGTTTACCAGCGTTTTGTTGACGAGCATGAGATCGGATGACACTAATTTCTGAGGCTACGGAACACAAAGACGCAAAATGCAAGTAGCGAAAGATCCGCGTGGTTTTGATTAGCTTTTGGCAACTTTTCTATATAAAATTATTTTAAATAGAATTTAGCTGATATATGGTTTAATATAGTGTTAGGAAATATATATGAATTTGATAAAATTGTAATTTTATTACTTAGTCGGTTCTTGCGCAATGCACGATTTTCCACCTACGAATAATGTCGCAAACTGCATTTCTTCGTATGGTAATGTTATAGAATCGCCACGTTTCGACACCAGATAGCGCGCACCTGCAGATCCCTGCATCCCTGCATTCGGAGGGATGAGAGATACAAAATGGAGGAGCAGACAAACGCATGACCGGGGAAACAATCAGTGTCTTTGAACACGCGGTGAATTTGCGTTATAGTTGGTAGAAATTATTGTTAACCTCCTCGATGGATAGTTAAAGCATGAAGGAAATTCTACAGTTTGCCTACTGTCCATGTAAGTATTCCAGGTTATATTTTATTTGCACATAGTTTCATCGAGCAGCGAAAGGGTTAAGTATCGTCATCCAGTTGTGTTAATATTATTTAATGAAAGGTATCGATGCAGCAAAGGATATTGTTAGAATTGTTAGAATACTTTCGATTCGGTAGTACGGATCGAAATTTTGTAAGGCATTTTCGATGATATTCGATAGCTCTTTCGAACTGTAATAAAGCCAGCGTAATTCAAAGAAAGCAGCATGGACTTGTTCATTCGTTAGAATAATTGGAAAGCAGACGGAAGTAAAAAGTGGAAAATAAATACGAGACGCTCGTTAAAAGGGAATTCAAGTGGTCGAACAGAGAGCGTGCAAACAAGATAATTATTTGAAATAAGCTTCGTTCGTTATGCTTTAAGCATTTCTTCCCTTGTGAGGTAGATACGAGATACTTCAGTGCCCCGCGCATAATTCTGCTTGTAACTCTTATCTTTCCCTTTATTTGCTATGGTATACCTTAATTATCTTATCGCACTTTTATTCTCTCTTTCGTTCCGCGGCCACCTCTTATCTTCATTTTTATCTTCGTCATTGTCTCAATTTTCATACGTCTCGCGTTAAATTACTTTTCCGCGTTATCGTCGAGCGTTTCGTTCTATCTAGTGCAGCGGTGGCGCACATAAAGATGGCGCCACATACCTTCTTCGTCGACCGAAAACATTTGCTATCTGAATTTTAATATTTATAATTTCTATTATATTATTTTGCAGATCACCGAGTGGATAGACGGTATTAGCTTCTCTTCAAACGTCGAGTCGGTAAGTTTATTATGGTTTACAAATTTCTGTTATCTTCGTCGATTGTATGTTGTCCAAAGCGTCCTCTAAATGTGTTTTGTTTGCAGAACAACTGTCCTCGCTATGTCCACTCGACAGAAATGAGAGTCCCAGAACGATTCTATTCCGAGTCCGGCCGAGGCTACCCGAAACCAAACGGAAGGACCAATCAGGTGACTCGATATACAAGAAGGTGCGAGCTGCCACATAGGCTCACTGAACTGCTAATTAGTATGCAACGTGATGGTAGGAGCAGTAGTGGTACCGGGACACTTGTGATTCTCGGCGGATTGCGTCATCCCAGGTAACCACATTTTAATCGCGTTATTATTCAGACAAAGGTCGCAAACTTACTTAAATAATAACAGTAATTTATTACGAATACCGAATAATTATTCTGCGTATGAAATATTCGATTAATGGAATTTAATAAATATTTACGTAATGACCAACCACGATGTAGTTCACGTTATCGATACACGTAAAAATGTTAGAACAGCGTTCGTTAAACGTTTGGATCGCGAGTACGATTACTCGTATAGAGACAAATTTGACAAATAGAGCCCAGCTCTAGGTGTACACGGCAAATGATTACGGCGATTCGCAATTCGCGGCCGAGCGAATGACCGCGCTAGCACGTAGCAATTAGCACCAGGGGTAATCAACGAATTTGCATTTAAATGGCGGCCGAAAGGTGCACAATAAATCGTCTTGCGGTGCCTGAGCCATAATTGTGCGCGTTCTTCCCGGGTCTCTGCTCGCCGAGAGTGTCCGGAAGCCGCGAAATTGCCATGTACCGAAACTAAATGGTAATTCATTGAATCTTTCTGTTTTTTTCCCCATCGTTTTTCCCATTATTGTTTCGCGCGTCGTCGATTTGCTTCCACTTCGGAACGTATTGTTTAGAATTTCGAATTCACAGCCATACAACGACAGAGAATTCTATATTATATTCATCGTTAAGTATATTTTAAACGTTACAACTGTAAACTGATTGAATTCAACGCGAATCAATATTTTTTGCACATTTGTAAAGAAATGTTTGATTCGACGGGCTGTTTTGCTTAGAAACGCACGAGAGCGTGTAAATTAAAACTGGCCCCGTGGTAAAACCCAGCCAGAGGGCAATTTACAGACGTCCATATCGTCTCAGCCATTTATCCTTGTAAAAAGAAATAGGAGCCAATATATTTTGCGGGTGAGCGTTTGCATCCATCCAAATCCGTAAGGTTTTCTCGCCTCGTCGTATATCCTCGCGGCAGAAATAGATATAATACAAATTTACGCGCAAACCGATCCCCCGTTTGTTTAGATAACACGAGGAATACTTCGCAGAGCGACGGGGCTACAATTCGTTGCGATCTCCGAATGTTTTCTTTATTTTTTTTCCCCCCAAACGTTGCTACTTCTACGTAATGTTTACAAAGTCACTTGAAGATCTTTTCGAACATCAACAGCTCTCGAAACCTTCCATTTCTAAGGTGCAATTGAGAAATGTTTAATCCATAACGAAGAATTTTATTCCCGTACAACGCGAGCCAATTTTTTTCTGCGATTGTTTAGTGAAACCAGGGGTAATCAGGGTATGAAATCAACGACGACGATGAGCACGACTACGCGGCCATGTTCCCTCGTATTTCTCGCGGAGATCTAACTCCGCGTTTGCTCTAACAAAAGCTTAATTCGACTTCGTTCAAGCAGCGACAAGCGATGTGCGAGACGAAAATTCGATCGTTGGTATACTCACCGTGTAAAGTATTCGATAATATACACTTTGGAATCTGTAAAGCTCAGCGCGTTAATTGTTTCGGGGAAGAAATCGATCTTTATCACCTGAATATTTCTGTCGTTCGTTATCGATAAGAAAAATCCTTCTCGACGAGAATGTCCATAAAATATGGGAGCCATCAACGCCAAACTCCTCTGGATACTAGAGTCGGTAACAAATCTGTTAAAAATTCTGTTCAGAAATTAGTTGAACAATCTGTTTGTTCGCGTTCTTATCGATAGAAAACGAGAAAAGATCTATTCCAGGTGATAAACTTATCATCCTGTTCGATTGCACGTAGGAAGATCAGCGCGAGGCTTAAGAAAGCTATTTTGTTCCGCGATTCTCATACTTTTAGTTAAACAGAGCGACTAGTTCTGGTACAAGAGGAGTACAGTGCATTGCCCGATTCGTTTGTTCGCATAAACGAAGGTTATTTCCGTCTCGACGTGATTAATTTAGCTTTTCGTTCCGTACCGCGCGAAACAGAAGGCGATTAAGAGAAACGAAACGTGAGTGCCGCGTCCATTTCGATGAACGGTTTACCGTTTTCGCTCGGAAGCAGATCGATGGAAGAATTCTTGCATACGTGCAGGCGTACGTTCAACAAGCAACAACGTGAACAAATCGTGAAGCGAAGCGCGATTATCTACGTAATGTATGTAGTTCGAAGACAAAAAAAAGCATATCTTTCAAGCGACGAGTCACGTGTGGAAACGCTCGCACTCGATTTTAAAGTCATACGCAGCTGCGACGCGTTACGAACGAGGACACGTGACCGATCTCACGAGAAAATAACAAAAAGCGTACGACCCTGTCGAAAATTCATTCAAATTTTTTGTCTTCGTGCGCGCAGAACGAGAAAAAGGAAGCGATAACAATTGTAAAAATGTGTTCGAACACCGTGTCGATTCGAAGTGACTCGACAGGAGGCCAATTACGTTGCCAGAGTCAATTATAAGCGTTTTAGACGTGTAGCTTTGTCTCCGTTGCGTGGGACACCCTTATAGTTTATGCATTTTGATTCATGGCTCTCATAGAATCGTTGACACGGATTCGTTTCATCGTAGGGGCGAATAGCTCGGTTCTAAACCTTCTTCTCCTATTTTTAGACTCGTGCAAGCTTGGAGAGGTGTGTATTGTTATAATAAATGTACAAAAATAATAAAATTCCTCGCTGAAATATTTATACAGGGTGTTCGACCAACCCTGGTGAAAAATTTTAATGGGAGATCCTGAAGGCCATAAAAATAGGACGAAAATTAAAAATACCAATTTGTAAACGGAGGCTTCGTTAAAAATTTCGCCCGTACTGAATTGTTTTCTCGAAAATGGGTAGGATTTCGGGGGCATGCGTAATGATAAAAAATAATTGTAATCGACCTCTGCAACCGAGAATAATTTTTCCAGAACGATTTGAAATTTTTTAATTTAATTTTTAATAACTTTTTAACGAAACCTCTAAAATCTCCCATAAACATTTTGTCTAGGTGTTGCCGAACACCCTGTATATTAACATGGATAAATTTTGCAGCGTCGAAGTTGGAAACAATGTCCAATCTGTTGATTCTGTTTTATATTCTGACAATAAACAGATAACTTTTGTTGCTTAAACATTAAATAACGAAATACGTTCGTCGTGCTACGCGAGTGCTCCAAATTTATTCGATCAAACATTTCGAAAGTTTGCAAATCCTTATTTTATACGATTTCGTATTTTCCGATGCATTGAATATTTTTTAATGTATTTGTGTATGCAATACAGGAATCACAGTTGTTTAACAAACGAAACGTTTATTTTAGAATCGATTTAGAACCCATTTGCCTTTCGACGAGCAAGAATCCGTATCAACGCGAGGTTTGGCCTCCGTGCAAGATAAGAGAGGTCCTCCAGCAGGATCGCTAGCTTCCCTCCGTAACTGAACTGGATTCGCGATCAGTTACCAGGGTGATACCGATATCGTGCGTCGAGCAGCTTAATCGAACCTCGTGAGCTCTCGTCCGTAAAGATTCAGCCTTAGCCGTGCGAGGGTTTTGGCGGAAACACTTTTCTATCGCGTCTCGTGAACCCTCCAAAGAAAATTTCAAACCACGGTTCACGAAATCCTGTATTCCGTCAGAAAGTTAGAGACCACTTTACAGATTGTAGTTCTGCGAAGCTCTGGAATATCACAAACATCGTTTCTTCCCTTTTCTCATCTTTTTTTGGTAGATCGGACACTCGAGGATACAATTTCTTAGTAGTGTCTTTATCGTTTATTCGAGTTCCCCAGTCTTGAGATTCTTTGGTTTAAAAATTTGAGAACTCGCGCGAGGATCGAGGACGTTCACGACGCGATATCAACGTGTTTCCAGCACGAATCGTGGGTAAGATACGCGCGTTGAACGCGGTGCGTGAGAGTGCGGAGAGAACCCTTCGCATATTGAGATTGTGCCGTGCTCGTACAGTTGAAAAGCACGTGTCGTCGCTCATCGGCGACGTCTAAACACTGAATTCACTCACCGAAAGTTTCTGGACGGATCGCGTTTTCGTCGTGCTTGTCATCTAAATGTAACGAAACAGCACCAGGTTTGAGAATATACAGAAACAGTGCTCGCACGGAGCGTGATTTTTTTAACAACACTCCCGAGACACATTACGCGTGAACCGATGTACTCGCAAACGAGCAGTCGAGTGTATAACTGAGAGTCTTTGGATATTGCAAGAAAGTGCTTACACAAAACGGTTAGAAAATGGCTGGGAATACTTACTCTCGCTGTACTCCCGGACGCGAAGCGTCAGCTTGTCCCTCATGGCCGTGAGGACGATTGTGTCGTTGTGTTTCATCTCCTTCAGTTTGGCCATTGTGTACGCCTCGTTGCCCATGACGAGGTGTCGTTCCAGGATTTGTTTCGTCTGCAATCAGACCCGCGATACCCGGTTAACGGACACCAAAAGCGACTGTGCGATTCACATAACTGTTCTCAATGTTTCAGGATACTCACGTGATAGCTGAACTCGGGCATGAAGAGCTTCTTGGAGGTGGACGGGTAGCTGATCGTCGCCACGTTCCAGGCGTAGTCGCGCGGGGCGAAGTAAGTGAAACGCTTCGTCGTGTCCTTCAGCATGTCGTTGAATCCGCGTCGTTGGCCCAGGAGGAACGTGGAGCTGGAAAAGGGAAAAGGGGATCGAGTGACGAGACGGTTTCCAACGCAACAAAAGGACGAGAAGTCTGGTAAGACTCATCCTTGGAACAATAGCTTAAAAACTTTTCTCTTTTCAGATAGCTCCGTTTTAGACACACAGTTCAGATTAGGGACGAGTCTGTCGATGGAGGCTTCTGTTTGCGGGTTCTCTCGAGTACCGCGATTGGTTGCAGTCTGTGGCCAAGGTTTCTAGGGGTTGCGGTAAAAGGGTAGAACGCAGATGCAAACGAATCGATGCTAACGGGATCCTGGTATTCGTAAACGCACGTGTGTGACGTATCGCGTATATGGGCTAGAGAGATACTGCAATGGATGGTCTCTGGTCCGGATATCATGGTATGGGGTGATGGAATGCTGACACCACCATCCATCCAGTGCATCGAGTAACGATAGCTATCGTATAAAGGGGCTAATGGCATTAAAGCCAGGACATAACCGACCGTTTCCTATCCGCTGGCCGAGCAATGATCCCCCGATCCGCGGGAACAAGATGGGAAACTTGCTGGCCAGCCTGACGTCCGCAACGTCGCCTCGTTTATTGTAACGTATCGGCCATCGATAAACTCGGATTGTGCTTTATGCTAGATCGAAGCTCCGACCGGGTCGTGTCTCGCTAGCGCAACATATTTTTTTCGTACCATCGCGGCAGCTTGAATTTTTCATCGTCCGAACACGCTGTTTGCACAAGGCGAGCGCGAACGCGAACGCGTTGGTCATGCGAACGTTATTTAACTGGATTTTATCGTCGCATAAGTTTATTTGCCGTTTATTGGGACACCGTTTAATTGGATTTTCCATTATCGATGCGTCGGTAATTGAAATAACGAGAGGGTAAATTAAATCGTAACGCGATCTCACGGCGTTGTGTTGAAAATAGCGAAAGGAAAATGGACGCGACGGAGTTTTATCTTCGTAAACGGTTCGCGGTAAACGAAAATGCTACCAGGTCAAATTAAACTGTTTTCGAGAGACCACGGGTTAATTACGCTATTTTGAAACGTTTCTTACTTTTCTTTATGACTTTATCCGAGATAGATTTCTAATGAATGTTTATCAAGTTGGCAGAAATCCTCTTTTTATATTTTCCGAGCTCATTTTAGCGCGTTAGTTTTCTTGTATAAGAGTCCATTAAATGGAGCAAAGGGAAGTATCGATAGGTAATCGGGGACAATAGTGCTCGGTAGGAATTTAATAGATCGACGCGTAGCTCGTGGAACCGTCCAATTCCCGGCGTAAGATTCCGTTTATAGTTTCTCCGCGACGCGGAGCACGTTCGCGGTAATTGGAATGGAGATTTGTTGCGTTATTTTAATTAAATTCGAGACAGAGCACAGGAATTGAGCCCTGACAGCGGAGCAAACTTATTTCGGTGAGTCGCTTCGACGACGAATCAAAGTTTCTACGGAAAACCGACGTGCAATTCGTGGTACAATTGATATTGCAGATACAGTATTTTACTCGCGTATCAGAAAACGGTTTCACTTACTTGAGCATGGGATCGGTCTTGAGTTTCTCGTACACAGTCGTGTAAGGAACACCCAGGACTCTGTCGATGATGTGAATGATCCCGTTCGTGGCGGCGATATTCGCGGTGATGACCGTTGCGTTCACTCCGCCACCTTCGACGGTCACAGTCTGGTTTCCACTAGGTCCCTGAACCACGTTGAAGTACAATTTCTTCCTATCCGCCATCGTAGACACCTATAAAAAACGGATGAATCTTGAAGGGAACGTTAACGGGAACACGTGACGCGCCTAAAAAGCGTGCCACGCGTATTCTGCACACCGAAACAACGACAGAATACACAGAAAGACAGGATAGCTGATACGGGATTCGTCGATCGTTGTCGTAACGTTTTTACATTGGCGAGAAACTGAATTTTTTCAGCTTGAAGAGAAAAAATTTCATACAGGGTGTTCCGTCAACCCTGGGAAAAATTTTAATGGGAGATTCTGGAGGCCAAAATAAGACGAAAATCAAGAATACCAATTTGTAGATGGAGGCTTCGTTAAAAAGTTATTAAAAATTAAATTAAAAAATTTCAAATCGTTCTGGAACGTACTGAATTTTTTTCTAGAAAGTGGGTAGGATTTCGGGGGTATGTGTAATGACCAAAAATGATTGTAATCGACCCCTGCAACCGAAAATAATTTTTTCAGAATGATTTGAAATTTTTTGAAAATTATATTCTTGATTTTCGTCTTGTTTTGGCCTCTAAAATCTCCCATTAAAGTGTAATATATTTATTTCGACTAGCACAGCTATACTAACAAAATGTTCTCGTGTGTAAATACGAAGTAATTGGTCGAGCAGAAATTCTGACCCGTTTTGGAACATCCAAGATAATCGCTGGAAATTTATTTAACGTCTAGTTAAAACACGAACAAACGACCGTAAGAAATTTCAGTTGTTTGCGTGGAATATTTGTTCTATTTAAATTCGCAAATATCGCCGGGAAAGCGACTGTCTAGACTAGAATGCCCTCTTAAAGTCGAGGATTCCTTTTTCGGTTGATCCTTCTCTCATGAATTTCCCTGGTACTTCGCGCAGCTTCCGGGGGCTACTTTTCCGATTTTGAGCCGCCGCCGCGTTCGCGGATAGACGCGTCTTCCCGGGTTCTGACGGGCTTCAAAGAGCAGATCGAATAAATTTCATGAAAATCCACGCCCCACGCAAAGAATTTTCCTATAATCCTCTTTCTAGGAGAGATCACTACCTTTACTTTTCATTCTACGGGATCACGCACTCTTTGCTTTCTTCAATTCACGTTTCGTTCCATTTACTCTCTATCTACGATCCGTTCCCTCGTTTTTCCCACCCACTAGCGTACATTTCTGCCCGGTCTAATCGCGTTAGGTGCTCGCACAGTCGACGCAAGTGCTCTCCAAAGGTGATTCAGCGATTAGACGTTTAACGCGAGAACATATTTCACCCCCATATTTATTTCAATCACCAGCGACACAGTTTTCAAAATAAAAAGGAGACTAATGGCAGGGGATTATAGTCCAAGGGCTGTACAATTTTTCTTACTTAAAAATATCGTCGCAGAGTAAGCTTTATTAACTCGAGCACAGGACCACGAAGATTTTTCTAAGCCTTCCGAAGCAACAATCATTTGTATTTACACGTTTCGAGCTCGAACAGTAATTTCACTTTTAATGCCCGGTCTTACAACCTCCGAGAGGATTTAAAAGAAAATCCCCGCTGTTAGCTCCTAACGCTTTAATCCTTCTCCATTTTAACTAGTGTTAAGTATTCGAGTGTCTTCTGAAGTTACATTATAATCACAGGTTAATTCGCGAGGTTAATTCGAATTGAATTTCAAGAAACAGACACTGTTACGAGCCAAAGGGTTAATATAATAAAACAATGAGAATAGAATGGTGATTTGTACTATTCGATAGTTTACTACGTTCTAGAGTTTGTACCTGTGAGAATAAAGTTTTAAATCCAAATCAGTCCCCGTCATAGGGACTTTCAGGGGTTGTTTCATTATATCTCGGTCGAATAAATGAATCGCGAATGCACGCATATATTTGTCGCTCTGCAGAGAAAAAGGAACGTCGCGTTATCTCGCGCGAAACTGAACGCGACGTTACGAAAGTTTCGGTGTTGCTCTTCCGCGGTTGTTTTATCGTCTCATTGGGGGTTGGAGCCGCGCGTCATAAAGTACGAAAGCGACATAAAACATATCCGCCGTGATAAATTCGCGGGAAAGCACGTAGCCACGGCGCTGCTTAATGCAAATCGGTCGACACCTGGGGGATAAAAAGTGCGCATATTTTGGTCGACCGTGGCAGCGTACTCGGAAAACGATTAAAGGGCGAAACAAAGCTGCGTCGCGCGTTGCTTTATCGGGTCCCCGCTATAATTTTTTCCACGGAATTACGAAGTACCAATCGGGACGATCATCGGCGTTCTTGGCTCATTCCCCGATAATTTTAATCGAACGCAACCTGTTGGACAAGTCGAACGAAATGCAGGAAGATCGATTGCGTAATTTATCGGAAACAAACACACGGAGACAGGCGGGAGGGATCGCTGAGCCTCGGGTTGCGTAACAGTAATTGTGAGCAGTCGGGTGAGGAACGTCCAGTTTCAATCGATCAAAAAGGGGTCGCCGGGCGCACGACAATCGCAGGCCTCGCGTTTCAAAGCGAACCAAACCGGAAGTTAAAGAACAATTGTTTCTAAAGTCGTACCGAGCCTGTTTACTGATCACGTTCCGAGTTCAGTCGCTCTTTTCTCATCCTTTAAGGGCGTACTCCAGTGTGGAACCTTCAAAACATTTTCTTTATTTTATTTTCTGAAAGTATATTCTCTCGAATAATTAATTTTGCGAAAGAATTTAGAATTCGATCGTTTGCTTTTAGTGGCAACGACAGTATTGCTGGAAGGTTTATTGAAAGTATTTATGATCAGTTTACGAAATGTGTAATTAATTTCTGACAAAAATCACGCAGGGGGAGGGGGGTTGGGGGAGGTTTGTAATTACACGGTAGAATGGTCCGGGTGGATGCAGTGTCGTGAGTTATAGATTTCGCACGCGTAGGTATCTCGAGTCCAGGCAACTATTATCGATTTTGACCTGTGAATGCAATTAAGGGAAATCACCGATATAGCTAATTACTTCAATACCTATGCTTCAATCACTGGATACGCTGATACGGAACGCTGCCTTTAATTATACGTCCTACACGTTAATAAATTAACGTTCTACTGGCGCGAATAAAACGTAAACTCGCGCGATAAAGACCCGGTTTTCATTATAGATGCAATCGACGCTGGACAGGCGACTAACGATCGATTGACACGCTGTGCAATTACAGATCAATCAACTGTACTGCTCGTCGAAGCTCTTTTTCTCAAGTCACGAATTAATCAGTTTATTTCCACGAATAAAATCGCAAAGAATCTTTTATTTTGACAAGTCTGTAATAATTTTAACAAGTATCGATCGATTCAATATAAAATGTTTTCTAAACACGCTAACCTGTTCATCGGAATTGAAATCGAAAATTAACCGATCAATTAATGAACTGATAAGGAGGGTATTGTGAAACGAAAGCTTCCGCGGAAGCATGAATTAATTTACGATTGGATTATGATTAAAGCCGAGCAGGCGCATTAATATCGAACTGGTAATTGCCGGTTATTAAACAACATTGACCGGTAATATGGGGAATATTTATTAGCAGCTACGGCGTATGAACGGTCGTTTCAATATTGACTTTGTTCACCTTCGTTTACCACCCGCGATGCATGTATTAATTATTGTAAACAATGAGCAAATTGTTCTAACCAGGAGTAACGTAATTTTCGCTTGCCCGTTGGAATTTTGGGGCGTCGAAGATTGTTATCGATTATTATACCCGTGATATTTCACGGGAATAACACCTATGTATTTGACATCAAACGAACCAATTATGTAATCCTATATTCCTTCTGATTTTACAAAGAATCATCAAAACTGCAACAAATAAATTTCTATTGATCAAACTCAGTAATCAACAAATATTTTGGACAATGGTCATCTACTATCGGGTTAAATACTTATAAAATCAATTTTAAACCATGCTCTTAAAGGAAGTAAGTTTCGTACGAACGATAAAAAAAGAATCTTCGTAAAAATTCATTATTTATAACTTTCTCAATGAACGATACACCATTGCGATAAATAAGGCTCGTTGAAATTTATTTTTCGGCGATTAAAAGGTCGCGGAAGCTCGAAATATTTCACTTATTAGAAACTTTTGCCAAAAGAATTACATTTTCGATCGTATTTTTCGTCACGCTCACGGTCGTTCATTATCGCGACAAAAGTGCGATTTTTCACACACGCCTCGGATTTGCAAAACGCTTCTGCGCCGGCCGATAAATTTGTCGCGTTACCGTACGTGTAAACAAACTGCGAACTCGCGAACAATACGACGAAAACGGATAAACTCGTTTCGAATTTATAAATTCACGCGGGGGAATTATTCTTTTATACATCGTTGGCGGGGGATAAATCGTTTCGATCAAGCGATTTTCGTTTCCTTTTTACGCGGCGAGATGCATTTTTGCGAAACAGCGTGATTCAACGCCGACGAAACAAAGTGCCTTTTAATTAAATATCGCCCACCCACTATTTCTCGAGGGCGTTTCGAATTTTTTAACGGTTCGATCTATTATGTCGCGATCCACCGGCGTGCCTCTGGAATATCAGCCAGGAATATTGAATTCCAACGAATGTTACATTAATCGCGCGTTATATAAACGAGCCGGAAGTTTCGCGAAGTGGCGTTAAATGAAAATGAACTTCCCTGCTCGTACCCGATAAGGAGACCGAGTTCCTTGGATTAAGTGGATCGGAAGGTAAAAGTTCCCTGAAAGACGCCTAACGTCATAACAACGCGGGCTACTTCTACTCTCCTCAAAACTTTCCTCAAAGTCGACCGACCAGGGACGGCTGGGCTCTCATTATCATCCAATCAGCATGACAAAACTTTTCGTTGAAATAACAAAAAGCCCTTAGCTATTTTATCGCGTCTCTCGCGCCGAACTAGCGATCCAGTTTGGTATTAGATCATCCCATAACTTCTTCTTACGTAACTTACAAGTCTCGTATAAGTCGCGACCAATTTAAACGAAATTCAACAGACAAATTCACATCTGCGACAAGCGTAAGCATTTTTAATCGATCCGTAAACCCAGAGTCTCTATTAAATAATTGCTCGTGAAAATAAAAGTTTGCGAATTACACGACAGGATATTATTATACCGAGAAACTTAGCAAAGAGAACGTCTACCCGGAGATTAGCATGAAAACTGAGTTGGGGTAGTTGGTGGAAAAGAAGTCCGGTGGACCAAAAAAATAAGTAATATATCATAAAAAGTCAACGTTCTTTCTTTTTCAATGAAAGTAGAAGTTTCGAGTGTCATAAGAAGCTTTGCATACAAACTGCTAAAGTTTCATTAAAACTTTGATCTGTGGTGTACAGGGTGTTGCAAGTATTTCTGGCGTCGTTGAAAGTGTAGAACTGTCTGAACAAAATTTCAAGAGTATCAAGAAACAATTACGTGTTAATTTGTTGTTAGTAATATTTTGAACACCGTGCTTGTTTGTTAACTCGTACGGAGACGATACAAGGTACACAATCTTACGAATTAAGCCAAATTGCCTAATTAGCTAAGTGCAATCGAGTGGTGTTAGCGAGCGAAGCAAGCGCGAAAAAACAAAACACCTGCGAACGGGAACTTCGTGTTTCGAGGTAACGCGAGTCACGGGACATAATTTTTTCCCATTCCCGCTGTTTTCGCGACATTAATGCGCAGCCGGCGTCAACGCGAAACGCAATTATTCGCCGAACAACGAGGTAGTCGGATCGGGATCAACACTGAGACGTAAATCAGGCGAATGCGGAGAGAAAAAACAGATGCAGAAAGTTCACGAACAGTCGAACAGAGAAACACTGAAAGCTATATAAATGTGTAATTACCCCAAGTTGTAACTTCCCGGACGAGGATTTCTTTGAACAAAAACAGAAAACAGAGAAACATTGAGTTAATCAACGTCTGTGTACGCGTGTCGCGACGCTAAAACACAGTGTCGAGTGTCTGCGATGCGGAAAGCAATGGAAATCTTGGCACCAAAGACTGTTCGAACTTTTGGGGGGGGACGCGTAATAATGGATGCTCGATGCTTTGCATGATTGCAAGCAATTTGGCCGTACGAAGGTTTCGATCGCTTCAAACTTTGGAATCTTTATCTCTTTTTATAGGGATCCAAAAGTCTTCGAGACTGTTTCGCATTTTCGGTACTTCGTCTTCGGAATCAATTCACTCAGGCTGACAGGACATTTGGGAGCATGGGATCTATCATGATTTCAAGGGTTATCGGTACAATAGAGTCACACAGTTCCTCGAGACTTTTGAAACTATCAAGGTGGTTTGAATCTTACATTTAACTCCAAGGTTAGAAGGAAGAGTTTTGCCCTTTAGAGTCTTTGATTAAAAATATTTTCCATTTATTAGTAGCATCGTCTGATTTCAAGAAATATTTGAAACGACTCGAAACCTTGGACCGTATGTTCGAAACGGTGCGAAGGACCTTTTAGCCTTTGGCTTGGAACGGTGTTGGGAATTCGTAGAACAAACAGACCCACCTGGCTGACGCTCTTGTTCTTGATCTTGTCGAGGGGCAGCCGCTCCTTGACGCAGTGGAGGTTCAGGATCTCCTTGACGCGCTCGGAGTCCTGAAGGATCTGTTGCACGCCTGGTTCCTCGAATGCCGCGTTGCTCGGCGCAAACAGCGTCACGTCGCGCAGATGGCTTATGGTGCTCATGATTTCGTCACCGAAATCGCGGATCGTCTCGTAAAACTTGTACACCGGACCGTCCTCCTTTTCCTGTACGTAGAGAAGAGATTTCTGTTTATCGATTTCGGGGGTTGCCGACAAACTGATTCTACACGGGGGATCGTTAATACGAACAGAAGAGAAATAAATAGAAAATGGTTAAAAGAAGACGTAACGAAAGAGGATGGAAAACCTTGCCGCATTCGTAGGGCGAAATTTGCGAAGTTCTTTGTGCTTGGGCAATTTTTTGTTTTGTTTTTTGAGGTAGAATGTAAATGTTTGTAAATAACTTCGCATATTTCGCTTCTGCACAAAGATGACAAATAAAAAGTTCGCAAGGATCACAGGAGGTTATAGGTAACATAAAAATAAAGCTTGAAGCCGTCTTAGAATAATTAGATTCGCGTTGCCCGATCGAACGAAAGATCTAGGGATTTAAAGGAACGATGGAAGTAATAAAATTTGTTAAAATCGTTGTCCACGACATTTTCCGAGATACGACGAACATTTTTAAATACACCGACATCCGAAGTCGTATTTAATAAACGTTGTACAGAGTGATTCGTACAATTGGGGCATGTCTCTTTTATTATTTCTGGGTACTTTTATGTCAGGACAAATTTCTTCAGGACATTTACTAAACATATCGATCTTTCTTTCTCTGACATTTTTTCTTTTATTTTTGGCTTCCAATTTGTCTCGTAGAATTTCATAGCGTTGTTCGTCGACGTTGTATACGGTATTCTGCTTAGATCTTGCTTAGATTCATATTAGTAAAAGAGTCACGACCTGTCCCAGTCGAGCGAACGACCCTGCACAACTCAGGAAGACAACGATCAAACAGATGCGTGTGCACGTCATCGTGCCATTTACAAAGATACGTCGAAGAATAATTTTTGATGAAAACCATTTTTAAAAAAATCTTTTCGAGTCATACCTTCCTTAAAATGGTAATTTATTTTTAGAATTTTGACTTTCCAGCTTCTATTCGCGGCAGAAGCAAGAATGCTTGTCAAACCTCGAAAATGATCTAGTTTCGAATAGAACATCTCAAGAATAGAGCATCTCTATAACCAGTTACTTTCGTGGCTTTTCAATTTTCACGTGATTTAATGCGACGGAAACACGTAGCTTCGAGATCCTCGACGCGCTTGAATACCTGGTTCGTCAGCAGGAGTCGGTGCTAATTAAAATTCGATTCGAGACACGACAGCTCGCGCGACGCGAACAAACGTCAGGAACGTTGACCGCGAGCGTCGCGACGTTTTGCGTTATCGCTTCGAAAATCGCGAGAAGTTTCCTCGTAGTTTTATCCGCGCGCGGTTCGTTTGATTTAAAGGAAAAGTCGAGAGGAAACGCGCTTCAAACGGGGATCGAACGTTGCTCGATCGGATTAAAGCTGGCCCGGGGGGTAATTAACGAGACGGTGATTAGCTGCTCGCGACGGCCGATTTTCACCTCCGCGTCTCTCGGCGCTCATCGACCAGATTAATGACTGAGAACGGAGAAAATAAGACACGAGACACAGAGGATCAGGGCTACGGGGAAACACGCGTTACAGAAACTCCTCGTTAAAACTTCCGACCTTTACCTCGATAAAAGTTTCGTAATTATCCACACTATTTACGTTTACGTCCAAACTACAACGATAGATTTTGTGGCTTCTATGGAGGAGCTTCTGTACAGTTTCACAATTTAGAAAGGAATGTTTCCATACAGTAATTCTTATTCAGATCCTTTGCGATACTATTTCCTCCCATTATATCCAAGGACTCGTGCAATTTATGAAACATGAAAATTATATCCACTTTAATTGCACAAGAAATTATATTTGAACTGCATCACGTTCTCCGATATTAACACTAATTACAGGGTGCTCCTAGTTAGATCAAATTTACATGCAAAAATGAATCGAACACGCGGAATAAATTTTTTCGTTCTTCGTTTCCGAGGAAATCGATTTCGAACACACCTGTGCTACGTGCGCTCTCGTTTAGCGATTCTCAACTTCGAGGACCCTCATACGAGTCCATTTTACTCGAAAACAAACCCTACAAAATTAATTTATGAAACAATAACATTTCTAATTACAAATCTACGTTTACAGCGAGATTCATTAAATATAATTTCAGCAATATGCTCACGTGCACCAAACAACTTCAAAGCTAATATTCTCGAGAACGAAGCCTCGTACGAGATACTTTTATTCCACGTTGTCGATCCACATTTGCACGTACGAACGTTTTTTGCCCATAAATTTTCATTAACATCCTTTTCCATCGAATGGAACGATTCGTTTGGTCAGCTTGTACTTTTACCGCGATCTTCGTCTCGTTAATCTCCTTTCCGCGAGTTTCCCGAGACTTGGGCTGACAGGAAGCAACGAAGGGGAAGATTAACCGGGCATCGGTGGCGTTACGAAGGAACAATATTGACACCGGGCAAAGGAAATAACAAAAGAGAACTACCGGCCGGGAGGATCGTCGAAAATAAAATATCGTCGAACTAACATCGGTAAGCGACGGGATAATAACGATGCTGGTTTACTAGCAAGGTGTCTACGCCGGGAATAAATTAATGAGAGAATATCTTGCATACAACGCCGAGCCTTGATTGAAAAGTAAAACAGAAACGGGACGAGGGAAAAGTAAAAAAAAAAAAAAAAGAAAAGAAACTGACTCTTTGAATTGAAAACGTTTCCAATCACTGGAAGGACTCTCGTTCTGTCGGAACTTCCGCAGGCTGTTTTACTAATGAAGCCAAAAAGACTTCAATCAGAAACATTGAGACACGGGAAGTGTCGAGGACGGGTATTTCTAATTGCTTTTCCATTAGCTTTATTGGTCTACGAACCTGCCTCGGAACAATAAAAAATTAAATACGATACTCTTGAATTGTTTGAATTTTGTTGAATTTCCAAAATTTTTTATCTGAGAAACGAAGACGAATGAAAATATTTTCTCTCGAAGGAAAGACTCGATGATCTTCGTAATCTTCTATATTTCACAAGTTGCAATTACCGCAGTTGATCCTATAATCTTTTTCGACTCGACATCGTGTCTCACGTCTCTCTTACCGTTCGAATCAAGCAGAACGAAATGTCCTTCCCTGTACTGTCTCGTAGACGATCTTTAATCGCATTTACATCTAGGAAATTAATCTAAAAAGTCAAATGCAGTAAGTGCAGTCGGTTATTCGAACGTTAATCGCGGCAACGAAATTTCTCAGTTCTCGTCGTCCGACCAGTTATCGAGTCGGATCACTCGAATTCGTTTTAAGTAGAACGTACAAGCAGTCTCGCGTTTCTTTACGTTGATGGAAGACCGAGCAGAGCATTCGCGATTCTCCCGACTGTTCTTACAGGCTAACTACCTTCTGAACGTTTTCTAGAGAAACCAACAGAAGCTTGATACACGACTAATAACGACCGGCCGATCTAGAATCGCCCATTCGACTGTCGCAACGCAGCAAACGCGTTACATATCGTAGGTTTGCGGAGTGTCGTGTGTATTCGATAGTCTCTGATGAGTTCATTTAATTAAGTACTTACGATGCCCTATACGACATGCAGAGTCCAATAGAGACATGCAAAGCACCACAGAATAACATCATTGAGTCAATATAAGAGTAATAAACACATGTACACAATTGATAGAAAATTCGTTTCGACAATTAGTTCGAGACGAAAAGGGTTTTACGCGGATTACGGTTTTTCTACTCTCTCTCACGGAGCAAATTCTATCGTCTACCTTGTGTTACATTCTTTCAAAGAACGCTACGACCGATACCTTTGACGTCCTTATCCTCCCGACGAGGGACAATTCGAGTCGTGTTCGAACAACGTCGCGTCGATGGAGTACAAAGTGTCGAAAAGGGGAGACCAAGTGGTGTGGGACTGTAAAATTTTATTTCAAAGTGTATTACACTCCTATAAACAATTCTCGATTAATGGTCCCATGTTACAATTAAAAATCTATATTTTATAAAACTTTGCACCACTTAGCGTCCGATTTAAAGGAGGATTTAAAGGACTTTAGGGACTTCCAGCTCTATTTACGGTAACAGATAAACATAAAATTGATAAGAAACGCGATTTTATCATGGCACTTGGTAATCGGCAAAGGAGTTCGAAAGTAGCCATTTTTGGTATTCGTCGAAACAGGATAATTTCTAGATATGTATCTGTACCTATCGCGTAATTGATCTTCTTCGACGAGCATAAAGAATGGCCATTCCGGAACCATCGTCCTCAACGATGGTTTGGACGCGTCAGAAGGGAACGAAACAGAAAAATAACAACGACAAACGGATACGTTTAATTGGACCGAAAGAAACGCGAAACGATGGTAATATAGAGCCACGTTATTTTACGTCGGTGCATTACGATTGATAAAAAGTTCGGTTTAACGTTCCCCCGGAGTCCGATTGCAGCCGACGAGGGGGGGGCTTTAGTAGGGCAAATCAAACGGTAAAGGCTCCTTGAATTATCGGCGATAATTGAAATTTTAATCGAATCCGTTCGTTGGCTTCCGAGCGTGCCAGTGTTCGCAACACAGCGGACAAAAAAAAAGAAAAAAGAAAAAAACTGGAGGGGGTACTAGAAAGATAGTGGCGAGGAGGTGGGGGAATTACAGTGTAATTGCTTCCGTTCTTTTGTGCCAGTCGACTGCGGAGAGAACACCGCGCGTTAATATCGGTGTAATAGAATCGGACACGTGGCCGATAGTAATTTAATATCGGTACGCAATTAAACGCTCGATTGCCAGCTACCCGTGCCGATGGAAATCGTTATCGCGATAATAACCAGCCCGATTAAATAGATTACTCGGCCGTGTCTAGTGACGGCACCGATTCGGGACTACAGTCCGAAGAAAATTAATCGGCCGTTCAAGGCCACTTCCCCCCACCATCGATCGCCTACCGTGGCGCCACTGGCGAGCTTCATCGAAACGACGAGTGATGGCGTTGAGACACAGTCGAATATAAAGTTACCAGATATATGTATGTACCTCTGACCGTAGATTTATTTATAAATTTCTTTTTTAAGAGTTTAAGCGATTGTACTTATCAATCTCGTCTATAGAAATGGTACTTTATATGTCTAGTGACTTCAACCGCATCGAGACTCTATTTTAACCCAAAGACGAATGCTCATTCGCGTCGCGTATGAGTCTCCTGGCACATTTTTAAACGACGAGGAACAAAAAAATTCTTTGCAAAGATTAAAAACATCGTTAATATTTGTCTAACGGCCGCAAGACGTCTCCTCCGTACCGTTCTATCATTTTTTAGTCTTACACTTGCTGTCGGAGGTTTGTCACCCCGACGAAAGGTCCTGTAAACAGTCTTATCTCACATAAAATATGAATACCTTCGAGGATCACGTCGTAACGTCGCGAAACGAGATCGGTCGAACGACGCGGCGATCAATCTTGCCGATGCGATCGCGGCTTCCGCAATTTTTGGCGCACGGTACACCCCTCAGACGGCGTCCGCGAATCGTTTAGATCAACAATCTCCGGCGCGGATTTAAGCAGACGAGGTTAACGGCAAAACGACTCCCGAAGTTCGCATTTCGCGACGAAATCGAGGAAATTTCGCGATTCTCGATCATCTGGTCGGTGGCCTGTCGTTCGCTCGAGGAAACGTAAACGAAATTTCTTTTCGCCGATAGCGGCGTCGATCGGCCGCCGTGCCCCGTCACGATCGTGATCCACGAGGCCAATATGGCCACCCTCGGAATCTTCGGAGAACACAGAAGTTAGGCTACGGATTAAACGTACGTTTTATGATATAAGTAATTCTTACGTAGTCTATTTAGCGATAGATCAGGCGTGATGAGAGATGATTCAAAAAGGGGGATGAATGGCAACAGCGTTCATGATCGAATGCACTGATTCATGTCTCATGATATATCGTGGCTATGCCGTTTTGTGAATGTCACGAGGGCTATGCTTTCTCTATTCATGACTGAGGTGTCGACGGAGGTATTCCGCGATTCGTCGACCAACATCGTGTACCGGTGCTCTCGTCCTTGACAACATGCGACATTCAAGGGAGCTAACAGTCATAGGCTAGGTGTGCAACGTGCAGTGCGTACTCTCGCTAGACACTGGCGGTTTACAAGGAAGATTTTTTCTTTTTTTTTTCATTTGCTCGTTTCGCTTGGCTCTCTAGTTTCTCTTTCTCTCGTGTTTTATTCGAGACGCCGATGGGTTCGAGCCTCGGGATCGCGTGGGTGGTGGTGTGTGAACTGTTTTAATCAGAGACTCGAAACGATGCGTGTGGCTGGAACTGCGAGCGCAAGGTGGACGCTCGATGTTACGAACTTGGCTGTCTCTAAATCTTTCGAACGCGGAGATCCAATTCTATTCGCTGAAACGGTCCCCGCGAAACTCCGTGCTTTATACTCCGATTTATCGATCATTTTTTTATTTGAGAAGACCCTTTGTAATTTATTATTAAAATCGATTGGTTCCACGAGGCCACCCTCCACTGTCAGTTGTTCTAGCTCGAAGGAGAATAAAAGTTGTATCCGCGCGTAAAAAGTTTCAAAAGCAAAAATTCGTAACACTTCGCGTGGACCAGCTTGAAAAATACATACAAAGTGGAAATGTATTCAAAATTAATACGTAACGACGAGGGTATACTTGAAGCGTTTATTACTGCAGCTACATACGTAATTACGGTACATCTATTCGGATGCGTTATGTGGTCTATCGTTAAAAAGAAAAGATATTTTGTTTGTAAAATGTTGTTCTCTAGACAAAAAGTATTTTCGAATTGGTGTCGCCCGATAGGAGGCAATGTACAAAGCGTGTGAATAAAGGGGATGAGAATATATTCTGGGGGAAAAGTCTCTTTCAGCGAAGCAGGACAATCGTTGACAAGATTGTGAATCATTCGCGTACGGGATCGATCGAGATATATCATCGTCGTAAATCTTCCTTGCAAGAAACGACGGTGCATTCCTCAGGCAATAGCTAAGAATTCATTCGAGCGCTGTTTCCAAATCACCAAAAAAAAGTATATGTTCAACAAAATCGTCGAATTTCTCAACATTCTCATCATCGCTATCTAGTACAGTTCTAATCTAGAAATCAGTCGAAAGCAGTGTTTTCGAATGTTTCTAAATATATCGATTCGCGTTAAAAAATTTATAAAATATTTAGCGAAATCGACGTCCTAATAACATTAACGTCTATCAGGACCTACGTACGTACGCTTTTGGCGCGTACTATCTGTTTGTCCTTTTCTATATTAGTTTTAAAATAATATTCATGACTCCTCCAGTTCATTTTCTCCTGTTTTGATGCATAGAATACGATTTTATACGTAAACATTTCTCGCCACACATTATATCTTCGGTAATGAATTTTTTTCTCGAAAGTGCGTAGGATTTCGGGGCTATGTCTATTGACCAAAAATGATTGTACCGGACCCCCGCAACTAAAAATAATTTTTTCAGAACGATTTAAAAAAATTTTTTTTCGCCAAAAAATTTCTGTATTCTCGAATTTTTTTCTCGAAAGTCCGTAGAATTTCGAGGGTATGTCTATTGACCAAAAATGTTTGTAATTGACCCCTGCAATCGAAAATAATTTTTCCAGAACGATTTGAAAAAATTTGAAAAATTTCAGTGAAACATATCGACGGGATGGTCAGACATCATATTTTCGGTAAAGAATTTTTTTCTCGATAGTGCGTAGGAATTCGGTGGTACGTCTATTGACAAAAAATGATTGTACTGGACACCCGCAACTAAAAATAATTTTTTCAGAACGATTTAAAAATATTTTTTTTCGCCAAAAAATTTCTGGTTACTCGAATTTTTTTCTCGAAAGTCCGTAGAATTACGAGGGTATGTCTAATGACCAAAAATGCTTGTAATTGACTCCTGAAACTAAATATAATTTTTTTAGTACGATTTGAAAGTTTTTAATTCTGTCGAAAAATTTCTCCCCCTTTCTGAATTTTTGTCTCGAAAATGCGTAGGATTTCCAGGGTATGTCTATTGACCAAAAATGCTTGTAATTGACCCCTGCAATCGAAAATAATTTTTTCAGGACGATTTGAAAAAATTTATTTTCGTCGAAAAATTTCAAATCAAATCAAATCAAAAGGAGTTATAATTTTGTAAACATACGCATGCAATTTCAGGAAACTGACATTATAAGAAAATGGTTTCAAGTTGCAATTATAATTGAGCAATTTAATTTGAAATGAAACTACTAATTTGGACGACTTTGAAGCTTAGAATTAAAAACGGATAATCTGGGGAACTTGACGGGAAGAGTATGGCTGGCAGTAGGGACAGTTTCGTTGGAGAATACGTCGAATAAATTGCTTTGGCTCGCGATTAACGTATCGAAACGCTTTGTTCGGGATCGCGGGGGCGAAAAAGGATCGAGAGAAAGGAACACGCGAACACGGGGGTCCGGCAGGATTACCAAAGGAACTTTTTTCGGTGTATCGAGAAAGCGACTAACGGCCACAGAATGAACGGCTGCATCGAAATGAGATTTTTTCCCCGAGGCTTTTAAGCCATCCTTTTTC